GTAGCTCATTGGGTTCTTGAGCTGCCTGTTTGCTTCCTTGAGTACAGCCTGCTGGACTCCCTAATTGGTCCTTTTGAGTAGAGGGCCTCCCCTTGCACAATATGTGCCAGTGTGATGGAAACATTCTTTGGCTTTACTAGCCTGTTAAATCGCATCCTCGAATTGGTGGAAGATATTTATCTGGGAGTTAATGTGCCTGCTTCAGCAAGCTTGATTCCTACTAGATAATGTGGGCAGAGGTGTGAGGGGTTCTTGGCAGAGGTGTGAGGGGTTCTTATCAATTATGCTGATACCACTAAACTATTTTGTATCAAAGAACTGTATCTTTTTTGTGAATATTCTTATGTAAATATACTCAAAGGCACTATTCATATTTTTTAAGGCTTGTATCATAATTTGTAAGGTTTTATGCTGGATTCTGCATGACTATAGGTAGATACTCTTGGAACAAAAACTGGGCTTGCTCTTCTTCCAAGAAATAAGCAGTCTTCATAAAGGAATACAGATTTATTGGCTCAGTCATCAAGTAACAGCAATGGTCCCATTGATCATGAAGTATAACAGGTTTCGTGCAAATTAATGTAGTTTCTTATTTATTGCTTTTTTGTAAATTGAATAAAAATAGGCTTTTATGTAAATAGATTGCTGAATCCTGTATTATCATGGCTACTAAAAATTAGTATGTAAATAATGCATTCTTCATTGTAAACTTTAAAAAGATTTTATGTGTTTCTAGATATGACTTAAATTTTAGGTTTTTTTACATTATGAAAACAAAACTGCATACTCCTTAGCTGCTTCAGACTAAACACATATCCACTGTAATTGTAATTACTTAATAACAGTATTAATTTAGATAGCTTGTTTGTACTGTGCAATTTGAACAAGGAATGCAATGTTATTTTTTATGAAAACTTGTTTATTTTTATAATAACAATGTATTTGATGTGGACCAAATTCGTACCACTATGTAAAAAAAAACCTCTTTTCTCACAGTACAGTTATAATTTAGAAATAAAACTTGGTCCTCTGTCCTTGTTTTTAAAAAGTAAATAGTTATCTTAGCTGAATTTCCTTTTAAGGGAAACTCAAAATCATTTTAAAATTGCTTATTTCAAAATTCACCAACCATTTAAAATTATTGTTTGGTAATTTACTATCATTTACTTTTTACAAGTGCAATAATTTCACATAATAAAATTCCTGAATAGGTGGAGTGTGTGACAATTGGTACCTGGTCCTTCTGGTGCTATTTTTATTTAAGTCTTTGTTTCAAACCGTCTTTCCTCTGAACCTTTTGATAGAATATGTTTTTGTGTGAGTACATGCAGCACACCAGGAAACTAAACTGAAATTTCTTCAGTCCTATTCCATTAGGGAGAAGAACCAGCATCTTTTGTGTTTGGTGTGAATAGTCAATCAATAAAAATGATTTACCATTATGAACAGCTGTGATCTTTTCAAATATTCTAAATAAAACTGTGCTGAGTTCATCTCATTCTGGAAAGCAGAGCACCAATCTGTTAATGTTATTTCCATAGTTGAGACTGTAAATGAGTCTTTTCTAATATAAAATATTCACTTTTCAGTTAATACAAATAGGAAGCCCAAGGGCAAAAAAAAAAAAATTGGCAAGTTTATCGAAATTTTCTGTTTGGTGTATAACCACTTAATTCTTTTTAAAAACTCTTATTTTATTTTGCTGTATTGTTTGATTTATGTATATCAACTGTTTAAGCCATAGTTTTAACCAGTGAATTTAAATATTTGGTATAATGATTTGAAAGGTTACTGGATACAATTAAGTTATTTGCTGATACCAAAACAAGAACTCATTGGGGGATAGAGTCAACCTTCGCTTGTAATTAAAGCTGCTACTTCTGTAATGTGTATTTTTTACTTGGCAAAGGGCAATAAAACTATTACACAAACTTGTGTTTATTTATCATCTCAGGTTACAGCAAAAAGTATATATATACATTAAAACAACAAAAATATTCTTTTGATCCAGGTGTGGTGGCACAAATCTGTAGTCCCAACTACTGGGCAGATTAAGATGGGACAGTCACTTGAGCCCAGGTGTTCAAGATCAGCCTTGGCAACATACCAATACCCTGTCTCAAAAAAACTTCTTATTTTTACAATTTTACCTGGAGTTTTTCCTTATGAAATACCTATAAATTCAGGCAGATATATTTAGAATATTCATATGTAGATGTAGAGCTGGCAGCATCCTAAATGCCAGACAACAGAATGTTAGAACAACAGTTAATATAACATGGAAAATGTTCAAAATATAATAAATGATAGAAAATTATGCCATATGACCTCCATCAAGCAAGCAATTTTATATTGAAGTGTACAGGAGACTGAGCATCTTTCTCTAATGTGGGGGATTAAAAATTATTTTGACTTTCCCATTTTTCTGCATTCCTAAATCTGCTGTTGCTATGAATTTGTTTATTCTGGACATTTCATGATCATATAAAACATGGACTTTTATATCTGACATCCTTTACTTGTGTATCCTTTACTAAGGTACTATTTCATTGTATCAATGTAATTAATTCATCAATTCAGCAGTTGAGGGTTTATTTGGGTTTTTTTCTTCTTTGGGGCTATTATAAATATGAACATTCAGATACTGTAAATTCCCCCCCTTAACTGTTTTACTGAGTCTTCAGTTACCATCAGTCAACTAGACTGAGGTCCAAAAATATTAAATGAAAAATTAAAAGAAATAGTTTTAAATAACATATTATTATAATTGTTCTGGTAGTTATTAATATCTTACTGTGCCTAATTTATAAATTAAAATTAGTCATGGGTGTGTATGTATAGAAAAAACATGGTATAAATCAGGTACCATTATAATTTCAGGAATCCACTGCGTAGGGATCTTGGAAGGTATTCCCATGGATAACAAGGGACTGACAGTGGAACTGTGGGTCATATGATAATTGTTTAATTTTTTGTTGTTTTTGGAGTACCTGCACTAACATTCCCACTACCAGTGGATGGAGGTCCCAGTCTCTACAACAAAAACTTGTCGTCTACCTTTTTGGTCAAAGCCATTGAAGTTGTAAATGAAATGGGTATGTCAGTATAATTTATATTTTAACTTACTATTTATTGATTACATCTTTTCATATATCATTGAATTGCAAGAGTTTTTTCTATATTTTGAATACTAGGCCCTTACCTGATAAGTGATTTGCAAGAATTTCCTAATTCTGTCTTTTTTCCATTCACAGTGGAAACAATTTCCCTAATTCAAATTACATTTATTTATGTTTTCCTATCTATAAAAATTTTATAATTTTAGCTTATACAGTTAGATTTCTGAACCATTTTTAGTTAACTATTGCAAATGGATATTCAGTTGAGCATCATTTATTGAAGAGATTTTTTTTTCTCAGTGAATTGCCAAAAATCAATTGACTCTAAATGTCTAGGTTTATTTCTATACTCTCAATTAACAGTCATCTGTATGTTACAATGATCTCAGTGTTTACAGTAACGTGCTGTCTTTCTTGACTGTTCTTGCTTTCTAGGAAATTTTGAAAGTGTGAGTCCTAACTTCATTTTTTTTTTTTAAAGCCATTTCAGCTATTCTGGGTCCTTTGAAGTCCCATATGAATTTTAGGATCAACTTGTTATTTCTGCACTAAACAAAAAGTCAGCTGATTGATGATAGGTGTTATATTCAATCTACAAATCAGTTTTAGGAATGCTGGTCTTTAATTTCTTTTAGCAATGCTCTTTGTAGTTTTCAGTTTAGTTTGTGCTTTTGTTAACATATTCCTAAGGATTTTGTTCTTCATATTCTTGTAAATGAAATTCATTTTTGTTTTGTTTGTATAGAAATTGATACTGAGGTCAGTAATGGTGTATTATCCAATAACTGTAAGGTTGTTGTTCCACTAGTGTGTGTATGTATGTAGATTCCTTAGATAGATTTCTATATAGATTGTGTCATTTGCAGCTAGTTTGAACTGGACCTTTTCAATCTGGATGCCTTTCTTTCCCTTGCCAAATAGCCATAGTTAAAGCCATCAGGACAACAGTGAATAACAATGGAAATCTTGTCTTCCTCCTGATCTCACAGGAAAGATTTCAGTCTCTCATCATTAACTATCATGTTAGCTGCAGGTTTTTTATAGCTGTCTTTACCAGGTTGAGTTGCCTCCTAAGTTTGTTGGGAATTTTTTTTATCACTGGCAGGATTTTGTATTTATAAACACTTTTGCATCTACTGAGATGATCATGTGTGTTTTGCCCTTTTTTAGATTTGATTTTTGAACGTTAACCCAACCTTGCATTCCTACTTGGTCATGGTGTAGAGCCAAATTAGATAAAAAGAAATTTTTTGCAAATCAAATATGGAAGTAGTAATTTCAAAAAAAAAATTGATGTACTTCAAAATTCCATAAATATTTCAACTAAACAGATACAAGGCACAAGTACATCTTGAGTTTATTTGCCCTAAAAGAAAGGGAAGTATATTAAGAAATTGTCTGGCCATTTCACCTTGAAAGAATTCACTCAGAAAACCTGAATAGAGATCTTTGAATCAGAAGTGTGTGCTCTGTTTTGGTGAATGGTGCTGCCCTTCCCTTGGCTGGAGATTAAACGGTGTGTTACTACTGTCACTGAGAAGTAATTTCTTCCCTCTCTCCTAGCCCTACCTCCCCACCATCATTCATTATTAGCCCTTTGATGATTTAAAACTCCTAAATATGCTACAATTCAACATTTACTAAACAATTTCATTTAAGTTCTATAAAATTCAGATGCATGAACTTCATTCCAAGGTATAAAGATTTCACCTGAAATAATCTGAGTTATTTGCTCATTTCATTCATTGAAATAGCAGTTATACCCATATAAGCCATATATGTCTTTAGCATTAATTAAAAGCTACATAAAACATGAAATAACCAAAATATGGGGATAAAGTAAGCAATTAACAAAGTTTTTTCTATTAAAAAGATACTAACCAGTATGTTAAAAAGTTTATTTCAGTAACATTGTAAGGCAACAATTAATCCTCAACAAGTCAGCAAACCAGCAAAAAGAAATAGACAGAAACAATCACTCTTCCAAAAGCTTCCTGAGTCAGCAGGCTAGCTTGTGCACCCCACCCTACCCCACCCCAACCCTTGGTGGTAACATCTTAAAGTATCCTACCTTGTTTAATTTCATCTGCTAAACTGGGGAAACAAATACCATGCAACAATCATTCTTAGGTCACATAAGAACTACTTTGAAATCAATTCTTCACACTTTCCCTGAATGTTACAATACTATGCTACTTTTAAGTTCTGTAGAAAATGCTTCAGTTAGAGTTTAAAAAACCCTTTTAGAAATGTTATTCAAATGATCAGATAAAAGCAGGGGTGGAACTAACAGGTTTATTAGTCCCAGAAGTTGCTAACATGATACATTATGTTTACTAACAGGACTGAACACAAATTACTTGACCATTTCTGGCATTTAAACAACCTCCCAGATTATTAAGCAGGCAGTAAGAGTAAGTGAGCATCTTGTTATGGGCTTTGCACAATATAAAAGCTTCATAATGCTAAATAAAACAATTGTTTGCCTAGAGAAACAACCCCAAGGCAAACCATGATTATTACTGAAAGGAGAAACAGTAGCCTTCCCCATAGTGGGGGCGGGGGAATCACAGAGAACAGATTTTTCATAGTGTTCTCAACATGGTGTTTTACTTTTTTCTATAAATAATCTCTAATAATCTATTTCAGATTAACCACAGGGTCAGAATATATGCTTAATTTTGAAATTCATAGAGAAACTATCATTGTGTTACTTTTTCTCTGAACGATGATTCTATACAAGCTGTAAGTCCTGCAAACCTTATGTACTACTAGGCATATGCAGCAGGAGCCAGACACTTCAAGCACTTGAGTCTGATAAAATGATTTTTACTAACTCCAGGAAAAGCAATGACTCCAGTGTTAATGCATGTGAAAGCTCTGGCCAAAGCCCTGCTACCTACATGGGCACGGTTTTTAGGAAGTCATAAATTAGGCAATATGAGGAGCATGATTTAAGAGAGCACATTGTACACATCACACAAGCAATTTCAAGAAAGTTATCTCTTGTGATGCACACTTAGTATGTTCTGGCTATGCAGACAGATCTCAGGGCCACTTTTCAAGAAGCATTCCTCTTGTTCCTGCATCACCTGAGAATTTTTTTTTCCTATGGTTTTCAACTGGTTTTGGCCTGTGCTTACTAACACAGAATTTGTCTAACTTATTACGTCTTAATGAAAACAAAAACAAACAAAAAAAAAAACTTTAGTGCTATTTACCAATGATCTCACCACACTCTATTGCTGCTTTGTTATACCTCACAAGCTAGACACCCCCCATCCATCTTCAAAATGAAAAGCACCTTTAAGGCCTAGTGCTGCCGTGATACAGGATTTGAACACTAACAGTTCTAGTAGTCTCAGTCCCATGTAAGCCACAACTTCAAGTCTCAGGAAAGCCAGTCTCACAGGACAGTAAGTTATCAGGAAATTATGCAACTGGATAGAAAACAAAAAAGGACCCAGTGTATCGATAAAATCATCCTAAAGGATTAACCTTGTATAACAAAAGACTCCTACAAAACAGAATATTTGTAAAATACCCACCATTCCCTATCCTCCCCACAGCTTGCACCCCAGAATAGCCACATTGGCAACTCGGTGCTCTGCGGAAGGATATTCAGGCTGTATACTTCCACAATTTTTCTGAACCAAAAGAACCATAAAAACCCAGAGGGAAATATAGCTGAGCAAATGTTCCCCTTCTCAATCTGCTAAGATGGAGGCAGAGAACACGTTTCAGAGGACAATAGGAAACCACCTCAGGAAAGTAGCATGGCAACAGCTCTGACTATTTGGCCAACTCTGCACAGGGCTCCACATTTACACAAAGCACACTCTAGAGGCTGTCTGAAGAAATACAATACTTAGGGCTTCCAGAGTCCCACCCTTCTTCCACAGTCCTTATGGGAGTCATTACCATAGTGAACGGTATTTTTACCCACCTCTACTAATAAAACAAATGATCTTGGATTTTAAGTAGAAATGACTTTTATCTTGTTAATGGTCTGACAGTCTAAATTTTGTTGATCCTAGAGAGGCAGCTATTGGAACTGGTTTGTTGGCTCTTGTCCTTAAGGTCATAAAAAATGACATTATGTGTGTAATGGCAATACCCACATGTGATTAAGTACCAGAAAATGGCATTTTCGAGTGTCAAAAAGGTCACACTTCACAATCCCAATTTAACCCATACAGTGGCTGGCCCTAAAGAGTGTTAACCCAAAAAGCTTTTTGAACATATGCTCATTAAAATTCATTGACTTACGTTACAAATATCCATGTAACTGTCACATGAGTATCCCTTGGGCACGTACTTAAGAGCTTATCCACAAGATTAAAACACAAAGAGACTGTAGGTGCACACCCAAGCAGAGGGAAATGTCCAATCTGGGAATTTCTCCTTCAGAGTATCTAACTGAGAGGATCTCTTGTCTTCCCCAGATAAATAGTGGGCAGCAATGGCTACAGTAACCATTCCTTCAGGCTGTTCTTCTATGACCTGCCGGAGATAATCAGTTAGTTCTCTGAAGCCAGATAACTGAATTCAAGGTTTTTGTTAAATATCACATGGAAAATTCCCACCTGCACTTCTATCCAGAACTGCCATGCAGAGGCTTGGAGTCCATGGGAATAAAATACAAAATAGTCACCTCCTTTGCTTGTGACTGGGGTACCATTACCAAGAGACCACTGGAAAAGTGTTGACCCTTTGTGGGGTCGAACGTAGAATGACATATGGCTTGGTCCTATAAGAGAAGAGGAAGAAAGAACAGTTACATCTTTAAAAAAACATCAAGAAAAGGCAATAAACCCACCTCCCAAACTATACTATGAAGGTGCATGCTTTGTATCACTTTAAATGTATTCACTACAGACCTAATGGAGGCCTACCAGTTTGGATATTTGATGCATTATCCAACAAGGTTAAGCAATGAAGCACAGCAGAAAGAGCAAAAAATCTAAACAAGAAAGCCTATGTTAAGTATTGATACTGTCAAGTGCTATATGATATTAGGAATTCATTTAATCTCTTCATCTATGAATTTTTTTGAGAGGATTATATTAGAAAAAGCATGGGAGGGCTGGGGTTGTGCCTCAGCAAGAGAGCACTTGCCTTGCATGTGTGCAGCCCTGGATTCAACCCTCAGCACCACATAAAAATAAATAAATTAATAAATGTATTGTGTCCAACTACAACTAAAAAATAAATACATATAAAAAAAGAAAAAAGCATGGGGAAGTTGGGAAGACTTCAAAGTATTATAAAAGTACTGAGACAATTATGAATCGAGTTGTAATTTCAGAGAGTTGATATTAACACTTTAAAATAGTTGACATAAATTTTTCCCTTTTTGCAGTACAATGAAACAGTTAAATTTTGATAATTTAATTAGCACCAGATACTTCCAAGAAACTAACAACAGTGGTTGTCAAACTAAAAATAAAACTTAAAAAAACCACCCCCTCAGCCAAATTTTAACTTTATTTTCAAATTTGACTGAGGGGGTGGTTTTTTTTTTTAACTCAAATTTGAGAAGAATAAGTAAATAAACAAATTCACATGCTCCTGCCTGCCTTGTTCCTGCTACAAGTTTTGTGGCAAACAAAGGCAGACCAAGCAAGTCCACCCTAAATCTGAGAATAGCACATGTCCAGTTAAAGCAAAGTTTATGGGAAAGCTACTTAAAGGACACACTATTTGACCTATCAGTTTTCAAAAGCGAAGCTTCTAAGGGAGAAATAAAGCAAAGAAAAAAAGAAAGAAAGGAAAAAGAAACCAGGGGTGGGAGGGTGGAGGTGTAAAGAAACAAAAAGGGCAGATTTATGGTCCAGCAAGACCAAAGCAAAATAGAAACTGGAAGACATAAAACCTATCCACACCAAAACGAATTTAAAAATTTATTTAAAAATCTAAACTTTGTTATACTGACAGAAGAGCAACCCATTGGCTAGGAGTCTTACAAACACCCAATAACCACAAAAGTGAGGAAGAAAAGGACAAACAGGACTATATAGCTATTAGAAAACAAAATGAGAACACACCTCAAAACAACCATTAAGTAAAAGAAAACTAAGCCAACATTCTTAACTAAATGTGGTAACAAGAACATTTTGGATCTATGGGGAAAACAGTACCACGAATCAGAAATTCTAAACCTTAGAAGTGCATATATGCATATACTACAAGGAAAAATTAAAAGAATTGATAGAACTTCCATTTCTTTTCTAAGGTCTAGAAAAAGAAATGGAAGAAAAGGTAGACTAAATTATAACATGCCCAAGGCAAAAGAGACTCCAGATCTAAAGAAAGGTAGCAAAGTACTAAAAAAAGAAAAAGGAAAAGAAAGAAAGGTCAAGAGAGGTAAAGATGGAAGGTAGGTCAAAAGGAAGCAACATTCAATTTATATCACTAAAGAAGAAAAACAAAACAATGGAACATGGTCAATATTCAAATCAGTAATCCAAGGAAACTTCCCAGAAGTAAAAGACCTGAATCTACACATTACAAAGTCTTACTGGTAACCTTATAATATCAACCTAGAATGAAAAACCTAAAAAGAAAAAATAGCAAAGCAACCCCCAGGAACTCCAGAGACTTGAGACAAGATTGCAAGTTCAAGACCAGCCTCAACAACTTAATGAGACTCTGTCTCAAAATAAAAAAGAAAGGATTGAGGATGTGACTCAGTGGTAAAGTGCCCCTGGGTTAAATACCCATTAACAAAAGCATCAAATACTTTATAGGGCTAAGAGAATTAGACTGGCATCAAACTGCAAAAACAATATACAAAGCAACAATGAGAAGAATTTTTTAAACAATATTTTAGAGTATGAGCAAAATTTTTACGTCCACCACTTGTCCTTCAAGTATCATGCTATATATAACATCACCAGTTTTAAACAAACACACATAAACATAAACACAGCACTCAAGAGCCCCTAGTTGAGAAGGCAAGAGGATAAGATTCATCCAACAAAGAAAGAACTGCAAAAACTGCAACAAAAGAACTTAGAGTGGGTGTTTTAATATTTCTGAATGCACTGCTAAAACATACTCAAGTGAAGTTGGACAAGACAGATATTACATGTAACACAAATCAGAAGAAAACTGAAGAGGCAAAGAGAAAAATGGAATAAGCAAATTTGGTAGGAGTTAAAATAATACATCATTTAAAAACCAACAGATAGTAAAAGGTCAAATAGGGGCTTAAAACAAAAAAATTTTATAAATGCCAAGTTTTTAATAAGCAAAGAAGACATCATAGAAACAGGTACATGGCAAATAAAATAACATAATTCCATGAAATCATGACAGTAGAAACCAATGCATCAATCAGCTAGAGGCAGAAAAACTGGTATAGAAGAAACAGAACTATATTTGCAGGTGATATGCAGTAGTCAATAAATCCCACCTGAGGTCTATTTTTTTAATGGGCCTCAGGCTAAGAATGGTTTTTACATTTTTAAAAAGCAGTTAACCAGGGCTGGGGTTCTACCTCAGCAGTAGAGTGCTTGCCTTGCAAGCAAGCAGGAGGTACTGGGTTCAATCCTTGGCACCACATACAAAAATAAAAATAAAGATATTTAAAAAAAAAAAAAAAAGCAGTTAACCAAAGAATTAAAAAAAAAAATCTGTGACAGATATATATGGCAAAGCCTTAAATATTTACTATGTGGCCCTTTAGAGAACAAAGTTGAATAATCCCTGGTACAACTGAAGAATCTGAGAGTATTAAGGATAAAACTAGCATAAAAATACGTAGTAGGATATAAAACTGACAGAAATAAACTGCCTTCGTACCTACAAAAAAAACAACGTAAGAGGATATAATGATAGAGACAGTCCCCAATTACAATACCAATAAAATCTAGATGAGGAAAATTTTAAAACATTCCTGAAAGACATAAAAACAGATCTGAACAAAAGACAAGTCACTCCCAGTCAATGGACAGGGTGATTCAATAACAGTTATCCTATAGTTAATTTATGAATTTATCATGGTACTCCAAGAAATACCAATAAGCAATAAGGAGTTAGACAAATTATTACTAAAGCTCATGTGGGAAAATATAAATAGCATGAAAAATAATGGGGGGGATTACAAATTTAACTCTTCAAATCACAAATTTAAACTTTATAAAGCTTCTATAATTAAAAGTGTGATAAATGGTACACAAATAGATCCATGCAAACACAGATAATTGTTGGCAAAGGCACCAAAGGAACTCAATGGGGAAAGTGTGTTCAACAAATGGTGCTAGGACAACTGAATATCTATAGAGAAAAAAAGCCTTGAACCTACACCTCACACCATACATGAAAATTAAAAGTGGGTCAGAGGCCTATAAAAGCTAAAGCCATAGCTTCTAGGAGAAACAGTCTATTTTCATGACTTCTGGGTAGGCATAGTTTTTTTTTTTTTTTTTTTTAACACAGAAAATCCTGATAAATTAGGCTTCATAAAAATTTAAAATTTCTATACACCAAAAGACAAAATTAAGAGAATGAGTAAGAAAATCTTCACAATGTGTATCTCATGAAGGACTTTATCTAGAAAATACAGTCTTACAAGTCAATAAGCAACACAATTTTACAAAAATGGGAAAAGACATAAAGAAACAAAGCAAGATATGTGAGTGGCCAATAGTACTTGAAAACATGTGCTACACTATTATCAGAAAAATGCAAGACACACCCCCCACTAGAAATGATAAAATGAAAAAGACCATGGGAAGACTAGAAATTTCATATATTACAAGTTGGGAGTGAAATGTAGAACAATCTTAAAAAACTAAACACGTCTACCTTATGAACTCAGCAATTCTAATATATATTTGTCCAAAAGAAATGGAACACCTATTTCCCACCCCCCCAAAAAACGCTTTATACAAGAATGTTCATAATAGCCTTATTTACATCAACCCCAAACTAGAAACGAATTAATTCAAGTATCTATCAACAGGAGAATAATAAACTATGAGATCTTTGTATGACTACTATTCAGCAACAGAAAGGAAAAAAATACTGATACTCAAATAACATAGCTGAACCTCAAAAGCCTTTGCTTAATGACCTAGACAATTACATACTGGATGATTCCATTTATTTAAAGTTCAAGAACAAGCCAAATAACCTGTGAATGTAAAAATCAAAATATGCATTAGTGAAGTTCAGAGAGACTGGAAACATGCATAAAAGAAACATTCTGGGCAATGGAAATTTCTGTATCTTCATGGGGATGAAGGTTTCATGAGTAAATATATGCTTTTACCAAAACTAATGAAACGAAATAAGATCTTCATATTTCACTGTATGTAAACTAGGTCTTAAAAATACAAACAAAATGAAGGGGAAAGTCATATTTGAAAATACTTTTCAATCATGAATATTCTAGGCATCTTTTTTTTAATTGGTGCTTTTTAGTTATACATAACTAGGCAATTTTCTACCATGTGAGTGGTACTCAATAAAGAAAGTACAGAGCAGAAATTGTGATATTTATTTTTTAGTTTTAGTTGGACACAGTACCTTTATTTTATTTACTTATGTATTATGTGGTGATGAGGATTGAACCCAGTGCCTCGCACGTGCTAGGCAAGCACTCTACCACTGAGCCACAACCCCAGCCCATCATTTGATTATTCTTTTTTTTTTTTATCATTTTCTTATTCTTAAAAAAAATAGCTAGTAATCATGCAAACTCTGTCAGCTACTGAAGATGAGACAAATTTCCTATGTCATATATTTCTCTTCTTTCTCAAGCATCTGTCTCCCTACTAAGAGGAAAATGTTCAAGCAGGCTGCTTGCTTAAGAGAATAAAACTGCCAAACTAAATAATTAAATGTATCTGGAGTACTCTTTAAAAGCACTGGATGCCAAGAATAGAGAAACCATCCACATCTGCCTCCCTTGAATTCTAATGGAAACAAAAGCATGAACTAAATAATTAGTGCTACCACAGAGCTGTACAAAGGAAAGAAAAAGTGGAAGGATGGCACTTGCTCACTTTGATGGAGAGGAAGACCAGAGAAGTCTTCGTATTTTACAAAGCAGAGAAGGGTAGAATTGGGATAGAAGGTACTACCAAGAAAGTCTCAGTGGGGTGCTTAAAAAAAAAAAAAAAAAACTTCAAACATACACAGTGGCTAGACTCCTGAAGATATGGACTGTCAGAGAGTTTGAACCTATTCAGCAAGCATGGAACTTCAAGTTTTTTACGTAAAGAAGCAACATTATCAAATTTATTTTTGAAAGGATAAACTGGCAGCACCATAAAGGATATCCTAGCAAGAAAACTTATAGGCCAAAACATCAACAGAGAAGGTAGAAGAGCTAACTACCAGTTTTTTTGTTTTTTTTTTATTATTTCTTACATACATGACAATAGTGGAGTGCATTACATTTATAATTATCCATTCACAGCACAATTTTTCATAACTCTGTATATAAAGTATGTTCATGCCAAATTATTCCATTATATATGAGCTCTCATTTTTTTTTTTGCATATAATTCTAACTACTAGTTTTAAACATGGAGATGGGAAGAAAATGTACTAAGAAAGGTAAACAAAGTCATAATATCTACCTATGCCAGTTCAAGTGCTATTATGGATCTAACAATGAACCAATATCTGACACTACAAAGTTCTTCAGCAGAGTTCCCTAAAAGTCATAACCAACCTCATTTTCTTTTAGAGACACGATAAGCTCCTAAATTGCTAGTTATTGTAATAAATTTGATGAGGAAAACCACATGCAACTTATTGTAAAGTTTAAGTGATGGGTCATAGAAAAAAGTGTCATATGACCTACCAGTTGCTTCAGAGATCAAGCACATAAAACCCCAGGGAGAGAGGAATCAAGAATGCTATGTTATAAAGCATCGGTACTAGCCAAACAGTCCAGTGTTATTTGAAGGTGGACTTATTACAAGCTCTAAAGCAACCATTAATTAAAATGAAGATAATTGATATTCTAAGAGAATAAATAAAAACAGAAAATACAAAATCCTCAATTAAAACTATATAATATAGGAGTAACTTGGAGTTAAATGAAGAAAGGAAGAGCACTGGAGAGGAAACAAGTGAAGATAAAAATTTTCTCATTTTTCTTATTTTAACGGATCTAACAGATAATAGTTTGCTCAAGATAACAGTGGCAACAATATATTTTATTATGTATGCTTACATGATTACATTTGAATGACAAAAATGATACAGGGAAAACAGGAAAAATTAGGATTCTTTCATTATTATAAAATACTCATACTACTCATGATATGTAGAGTGTTATTTGAAAGTGGGCTTGGATTAGCTGTAAACATACATAGCAAACACTAAGGCAACCACCAAAAAAAAAGTTTAAAAAGAAGTATTACTGACTGCTAAAAAAGTAAAGAAAATGAAATCATATAAAATGCTCAATTAAAACTATATGGAGCAAAAAATTTTAAAGAAATGGAAGGCATAAATAGAAACAAAACACAAGGGCAATAAATATAAAACAGTAACAAATATGGTATATTCTAATCCAAATATCAATAATCATTTGAATATCAATAGTCTAAATGTACCAATTAATAGATTTTCTGACTGGATCGAAAAACAAGACCAAACAAGAAACATACTTAAAATATGAAGACAAATATATTAAAAGTAAATGAGTAGCAAAAATATGCAATACTATTATTAATCAAAAAAAACTGGAGAGCTATATTAATTATAGACAATGCAGACTTCAGAGCATGGAAAATTATCAGGTATAAATGGGCATTACATAATAATAAAGGGTCAGTTCTATAAGATGACATAATTTTTAATGTATATGTATCTAACAACAAAGCATCAAAATAGGTGGGACAAAAACTCAAAATTAATAAGGATATAGTTGAACTGAACAATATCAGCAATCACACAAATCTAAGTGACATTCATAGAATCTTCACCCAATAGCAGTAGCATACATTTCTTTCTAAGCACACATGGAGCATTCCATAAAAGACCATATCCTCACTGTATAGCACACCTCAGCAAATTCAGAACAGAAATTATGCAAAGTATGCTCTCAGATCACAATGAGATTAAACTAGAAATCAATATCAGAAAAACAACTGGAAAATCTTGAATTATTTGGAAATAACATATTTCTAGGTAATAAACAGGTCAACAAAAGTCATCTCAAGGGCTGGGGTGTAGCTCAGTGGTACAGCACCACTGGGTTTTAGGGGAAAATATATATGCAACTTATTTAAAAATTTAAGAAATAAGGACAGAAGAAAAAAACCTGTTATCTGACTTACCCGTTGCTTCAAATGTTAACCTTACAGAATCCCAATGTGTCTGTTCTTTGGATATAAGTCTGAAATAAGCAGGATTTCTTGGAGAAACTTCGGGGGCAGGAAGATACCAGTTTTTCCTATTTGGAAAGGTAGCTTCAATGTTTGGCATATCTTACTAGTTGACAGCTTCTATAATTCATGAAGTATTCATAATACATGAACACATCCTTAGATATGAAAAAAAAACTGAATAATATTATAACACCAACTCCTCTGAAACCCAGGTTATTGTATAATAAAACTCTCCCAAATTTAAGAAAAGAGGAGTTACCTAGCTGATCGTGAGTCCATGATGCATCCTATTTCTTCTCATTTAATCCTTTACTACCAAATCATAAAAACTAGAAATAAAATCTGAGATTGATGCTTAACTGCTATCTATTTTAATAACTAGGAGGGTTACCCTTTCTAACTACTCACAATTCTACAGACTTTTTAAATTTGAAAAAACAAAAGTACTTTTCTGAGTGCTTAATCCCACTAAAGAACAGGAAATTTATACTAATAGAAAAACAGTATAATCAGCATTTGACTTGTGGGTTAAGGATAAAAGTTTAAGTAACAGGGTACTGACAGAACTTGAGAGCAAACTAACCCCTACTTAAACAGGAAAGTAATGAACCAACCTGATCAAAAAGTGTACTGGAAGATACCACGGAAACCCACAAAGGGGGGCATTCTCCTCACAGTGAGCCCGGATGGTGTCATTGATCTCAGGAACATGAGGTGTTATGTGAGACATTCCAGTATAATCAAACCCATTAATCCATATTCCAGAGTCTCTTTTAACTATGTTTCCTTCCAAGTCATGAAATGTTCTAGTCATATGCTGAAAAGAACAAGACTTATGAGAAAATTCTTTCAACTAGTTCACCCACGTTCCCACCCCAAATTAATAAAGAATAGTTAAGTATGACCATACCAAGCAATGTATGTAGATAAAGAGCAAAAATACAAGGGGAAGGCACTCAGGGTTACTAAGTTACTGCTATGATTTTTTATTTTAGCTCAATTTTTTTTTTAACACAATGCCTTTATTTTTATGTGGTGATGAGGATCGAACCCAGGTCCCACCCATGCTAGGCGAGCGCTCTCCGCTGAGCCACAATCCCAGCCCCTATGATTTTTTTTTTAAACAGGATAATGGATAGTTACATGATTTTTATTGTATCTTACAAATACATTTATCTATTTAAATTTTACATAAAAATGTTTTGGCTGGGCACAGTGTGTGTGCCTATAGTTCTAGCTACTAAGGAGACTGAGGTGGGAGGATCACTTCAGCCCAGGAGTTCAAGACCAGTCTGGGCCATATAGAGAGATCCAGTCTTAAAAAAAAAAAAAAAAAAAGAAAGAAAAAGCCTAATACCCATAATCCTAGAGGCTCGGGAGGCTGAGGCAGGAGGATCCCAAGTTCAAAGCCAGCCTCAGCAAAGATGAGGCGCTAATTAAGTAACTCAGTGAGACCCTTTCTCTAAATAAAATACAAAATAGATCTGGAGATGTGGCTCAGTGATGGAGTGCCCCTGAGTTCAATCCTGGGTACCAAAAAAAAAAAAAAAAAAAAAATTTTTTTTAGCCTATTTCAGATTTAAAAGACTTGAATTAGCTAGAACTCCTTTTAGAGAAGGATTTAAAACAAATACATCCTAAGCACGTATATATCCACACTCATTTCCCCTTCAGTGTGTTACATGAAGCTAATTCATGCGCAGAGAAAAACAAGAATCGTAGCTCAACACTACATGACAAGCTTGTACCTAATAGAATTCTATGAAAAGGCACCATTCTCCAATTGGAATAGCTCTATTAACAGCAGTAACCAGCCTGAAGAATATGAAACAGGAAAGAAAAAGGGTTGCATAGGGCAAAAGGTGAAAACTGCAGCTGATGGGTCAAATTACCCACTAATTATAAATAAGGTTCTACTGAAACACAGTCAAACTCACGAGCTTAGGTATAGTCTACAGCTACTTTTGTTCTATGAAACAGATGAGCTACAGAGACTGTGTAGCTGACAAGGCCTAAGATATTTATTACTTGCCACTCACAGGAAAAGTCTGCCAATTTCTGGTGCAGAGGGGAAAAGAGAATCCTCTGGACTTTTTAAAAATAAAAATCTAGTTTATTCTAAGTAAATACTACTGACATAAAAATAAGCATGTCACTGAAAATCACAATGAACCTCCTAAAAATTATTTATTCTTCACTAAAGGTTGTGCAAATTGTACAACTCATATAAAATGTATCAGTGTGTCCTTCAGGACTATTTAAAAAAAGAATATTTGACCCCTTTTTAAAATCTCCTCTCTAACTTCTAGTATTTTTAATTTTTCTAGTCCTTGAATAATTATCCAGGTTGTGAATGCTTGGGCATTCTGTTGGATTACTCCAACAATGAAGTTATATCTTTATACTACTGGCTCTAAAAGTATAGAGAAAAAACCTGAAATCTAAAGAACATTCTAAATCTCAATTTCATAATCTCTTAAGTTATTATATTTTCATTACATATTACTTTGAATGTTATTTAACCTCAATTTTACTAGCAATTTATAAATATCTATTTTATTTTGCTAGTTTAGAGTTTAGTTTTACTCAACCTGCAGACAGTTTTGCAATCTGTTTTTCTAAAAGTTCATTATTCTGATCTATATTTGCCTGTTTTTGAGTAGTTTTACAATTTGAATAGTAATAAAAACAACAGGCAAGCATTTACAATTCCACCTCTTGGGAGAAGTACATCTAGCTAATAAGAATGCCCCTTGATTGTCAGTCTTTTCCTCACTGCCATATACACAAAAATATCAAGACCAACTAATTAGGTCAACAGCAAAAAGTTCAGTTGAGTTTCCTGTTCCCTAGTGAAGCTCAAAACATACAACCTGAATTTCCTCTCCTGAATCTCACATCACCCATGCAAAATTGCTCTTACCTGAAGAAAAACTCTTTTTGGCTTTGGATTAGCAGGATTGGAGCTGTACGGAAAAAAAGTTCCACTGCAAACAAGGAGGAATGTAACTGCACACACCAAAGTTAAAGTTAGCATAGTTTTCTTTGTGCTTCTGGCAAGGTAAATGAAGTTAATCTGAAACACAAAAATAGAAAAATTAAAAATTCATATCAGTGACAAGGTTTTTTAACTGTATTTTGTAACAGGTATTATCTAAGACAATGTAGAAAATTTATCAGCCTGTGATAACATATTCCAACACACAATAAAATAAAGCACTAATTCTAGGGAATTGAAAATTCCATCACAAGTCAGCACCTAGAAAATGACAGATGCTTCCAACTAGCCAAGATGGTACCTTTTGACAGGTAACCAGAAAGCAATGGGAAAAAGATTAAGTAGTGTTCCTATGCTCGATTAAGCAAAGAGAATGTAGATCTGACACTCACCAAGCCATACTTTATATTACTTCTGATTCTAATTAATGGCCTTTAATAGTTCACACTGCACTGCAGACACCACTGAACTGCACCAAACGTTATGGTATCACAGGCTTTCACTAAAGTACCAAAGACAAGCTTTTTAAGCTTAAGTAGTTATGTTTCAATAAAACTCAAATTCCACCCATAATCCTTTTGCAATGTAGCAAAGAGTAAACTAAACTAGTATTTAGATGTACCTTCAGGGCTTTGCCTGTGGACCTGCATTTGAGGGGGGAAAAAAAATGCATTACAAAGTAAGTCTGTCCCTTTGTGTATTTCAACACAAACAAAACAAATCTAAACTTGGGCAATAAAAGGGAATGGCTCAGCCTCAAGGTTGACATCCATAAAATACTAAATAACAGCTTTTTTCATTATAATCAAGTCGTTGAATTAAAAACTACAGAAAACAAAAACTCAGATAGGTCCCAGTTCCCTAAGGTTTGAGGTGGTCTGAAAGTCACTTGGAGAAACAATGACCTAAACCCAGCTGCCACTTTTGCCCTTTTCATCTAATTGCCCACCTCCAGGTTTAGTAAGTAGAGAAAAACATGAATGCAAAAATATTTTTGTTGAGATGAAAATGAAAATGTAAGGCCAGGCAAGGTGGAGCATGCCTATAATCCCAGTGACTCAAGAGGATGAGGCAGGAGGAGCATAAGTTTGAAGCCAGCCTCGTAACTTAGACCCTGTCTCAAAATTTAAAATTAAAACAAAAGGGCTCAGGATATAGCTTGATAGAACACGCCTTGGGTCCCATGCCCAGTACTGGGGGTATGGGTTGAAGAGAGGGGCAACTTTGTGATTAATATAATTCAAGTATTTGGGGCTAGTGGTATTATAGTACTTGCCCAGCATGCATGAGGATCTGGATTTGATCTCCTATCATTTAAAGAAAAAATATATATATATATATATTTTAAAAATCAAGAAAATTAAACAAATATTCATAATCTACTAGGCAGAGTTAAAGAATTTTCATCTCTGAAGTATTTCAATATCCCATTCAAGGTAATTTCCAACAAAACAGCTCCATTCCTAGGTGAAGGGAATTATGTTTATATACTGAGTACAGAAATAAGACAAAGCACCCTGGATTTAAAGCAGTAAGCTAGCTAAACACAATTTGTAACTCTGTTTGCTCTTCTACCACCGAGTCACAATATGTAAAATGCAGTTCCTTAGAAAGTTTCAAATATACTGCCAAGTAATGAGTTTCCCCTCTATTGGAAGGCTGGTAAGTTTAGCCATGGAAACCCTCCCTGTTATATAATACTGTGTTTTCTGCATTCTCAGGTCAGCTACTACCAAAGTTGCCCTAAAACCTTACTTAAGCTATCATTTCCACATTCAAGTTCCCTCTTGCCCAAATCACAAGGTTCATCTTGTGACTATTCCCCAACTTCTAGAAGAGGTCTGGTCATGACAATAAATGGAATGGCAATCACCAAACAAAGAACAGGAGGAAATACATAAATTAACAATGTGTTTGGATTTCATGGTTAATCAACTTAAAGTTCTATCTTAAACATTGCATATCCTATGTCACTTAGGTTCTTAAATGTTTACAAAATAAACTAAAAAGGAGCATTAGAAGGACTCTGAAACATCCAGTGTGTGCCAATGACTGAGCTGTTTGTAAGACTCCTTCTGATCCCATTCCTAGAGATAGTCCCATTTCAACTCTCACCCAATCAATATAACTATAGTGGAACAGCAAAGTGTAACCTAAGGAAACCTGTTAACTGATCACTTGACAGGAATTAAATGCTTTCCAAAATATATTTAATAAATCCCCAAGGACTGAAGGAAAAGTTATCTGAAGTAAGCACTATGGTTTACTTCTCCATTACTCAAGAATAATTTCTCTATTAATAAGCCATTATGAAAAAAAAAAAAAAACCACAGTAGGGCATGGTATCAAACAACATGATCCCAGGCAACTTGGGAGGGAAAGTTTGAGGCCAACTTCTGCAACTTAGCAAGGCCCTGTCTCAAAATAAAAATAAAATATAAAAAGGACTGGGGGCATGATTCAGTGGTAAAGCACTCCTGGGTTCAATCCCCACTACCAGAAGGAAAAAAAAAAAAAGTGACTATTAGTAATATTGCTGCACATACACAAGAAAATGAAGAGAATGATATCCCGTGGCATCAACGATCAGCAGGGTGGTGGTGGTGGTAGTGGTATTAGGAATTGAACCCAGGGGCACTCCACTGCTAAGCTATACCCTCAACCCTTTTTATTTTAAAGACAAGGTCTCACTAAATTGTCAAAGCTGGCCTCAAACTTAGCAATCATCTTACCTCAGCCTCCTGAGTCACTGAGATTACAGGTACATACCATCATGCCTAGCCCATTCTACATTTTCCTTCCATAAAATGCACAGCCATTCCCCATTTAGTTTACCTAAGACTTTTTCAAAGAATATGTAATGAGTTTAGCCATACTAAATAACATTGTTTTAGTTATCTAATATGGCTAAACTCATTACATATTCTCACATAAAAAAATAAAGGAAAAAAAGAAACAATTTTTTTTCTTACAAAATAGGAAGAGAGAATCATGGTACAACCAGCCAAAATGGATGCCAGCACAACATCAGGTGGGATTTCCGAACCACTTCTCCCAAGGATAGGGGTAAACATCTCAAATACTGCCCAGATGAGGTATAGTGCATAAAGATAAGGAATAAACATCCCCAAAAGGTAAAAGGCAATAAATTTTCCTTGGGCACCTAGGAGAAAAAGAGATACAAAACACTTATCTATGGAATTCTAAAGTGAGTTGCAGATTTTATAGTACTGCCACATCTTGGCACCTAACAGAAATTAGATTAGCTATGAATCTTACCCTTTAGGTACATATTATCTACTTCAGATACATATTATCTACACTTTCACTCAAGATAAAATACTTTTAAGTATTTAAATACTTAATTTAATTACTTACAAGTAATATATCAGTATGTGTTCACAAACACAAGAATGGGTTTAGGTATAAGGAAAAGGGAAAAATAGTCTCTGGAAGCTTTATATATTTTAAGGTATTTTCCCACTTGTATTAAAACTAAAAATACCCTACCATGTTGTTGAAAGTCCTTGTGCACGAAAAACTTTGTGAGCAACGGAAATGCTACCCAGACTGCACTAATGAATGCGGAGCAAAGTCCTTGATAAGTGAGCATTACGAGAAAACCACAATGCACAAACAATGAGATGTCAAAAAACATTTCTCCCAGATACTGGTCACTGGCATTCTGAAAGAAAATAATAATAATAATAATAATAATAATAATAATAATAATAAACAAGTAGTCTCATTCATGGGTCATTCATAAAGATCTCTTATTATAAAACAACTTCCACTGCTTAGGAGAACTACATTTTGTTTTAAAGCAGGTCTACCCTTTAAAACTGAAAAAGGTCAATCCTATCAGAAGTAATAAATTACTGCTGCATAGGAAAGCACAATTTAACAAGATGAAGTGAAAGCACTATTCCTTGTATCTAATCTGTGCTTTTCTTCCACCAGGTAAATAAAACCTTTGGAAATGTTCCAGAATTTAAACAAGTACCCTCCTACAAACATCCATTTTTCTAAGCTTAGAGTGTTTCAGACAAACTAGAGAAATGACCTACCAAGGAACATTATCAACTGCTGCAGCACCACCAACAGCACACCTGGGAAACTGCATGCCCTTTGAAGTTACAGCTGTGTTGGGTTTGCCTTGATTTTCTGGAGTCTTTTCTATCTCCAACTTGTCACCTTTGCCCCTTCTTGTATTCCTGTTGTATTCCTCTTGTATTCATATAATAAAATCTGAACTACATTTTTTGAGACTTAAATTCCCAGGACTCCTGTGCAGCACCCTGCACTCTTCAGAAGAGGCAGCCTTATGAACTTAATACTTAAAAATGAGTGCAAGAGGGATTCTATCAACACAAATATCAAAGTTATAATTCCAATGCATAAATAACAAAATGAATATACCTATCTTTAAGTTTCTCATTTCTGCTCATCCTAGAGCATGTTTGTTTTAAGGGACCCTATTTCAAGAGCTCAAGATTTCCTGTCATATATTTTCCAAAGAAATTAAGGTTCATTTGACAACTCCCTCTTGCAAAAAAAAAAAAAAAAAAGAAAAGACAGGCTACAACTGTTGAATACTTACGTGTTCAACAATATTGATCAAGAGACTTAGTACTTAAAAAGAAGAAAATGGTTCTGTGAAAATATTTTATAATAAGTGCCTAAACTGTTCCAGAAATAAACAAACATCCTTAAATCTACTTTCATCATCACCTCTATTTGTCGATCCCACTCCTGCCTTATTCCAATCCATTACAATAAAAAAAAAAAAAATCTGTCCTGCTAAGAAAATTTTAATGGTGGTCACATTGATTTTTAGGGTCATGCTCCAACTTCACACTGGTCAACTTTTCAGTTATTGTGCTACAACCTTCTCTTCACCACACTGTACTTTTTACTGTGACCCAAATTATCAGGTACATTCCCAACTTTGTACCCTTATCAACCTATTCGCTCTCTAGTAAACTTCAACTCATGCCTCAAAAACCTCATTTGAATATTATGACCTCCTTCGTCAATTTTTCCTGACTTCCATAAGCAAAACTCATCTCTCCTGCCCCTGTATTCCTATTGCACTTTGTATGTGTCAATCTATTTCACATTGTCCCACAATGTACTGCAATCATTGTAGTCCCTACCTATTCCCAAATAAAACTGAGCTCCTCAAAGAAAAATATCACATTCTCACAAATCTCCACATCACCATGCATTGAGTGCTTGAAGAATATTTGTGAAGTGAAAATAAAACACATTACCCCTTCCAATGTGTTTTCAGCCTCAAATATTATGATCAGACCACTGAAATTAGTGAAAGTAAATAGACTCTTATTTCTCTCTCACTCCTACCCCAATCAATAATATTCAACCATACTCTGGTCATATACACCTGCACTAAGAATAGGCATGTGAAACTAAGCCCCAGGAATGATTCTTTTGGAAAACAAAGCCACTAAGATAAAAACGTAAGTTCAACTGTAAAAACATAAGTTTAACCTCAAAGAACCTTTTTTCAATAGGCCCTGCTAACATGGAAGAGTTCCTCAGACCATCTCACAACATTTACTAAAACTCAGTCAAGGTTCAGCAAATAGACATCCTAGTGGAAGGACGCTGGATTGTAGTCTTACATATCTCCATTCTAATCCCCTACAAAGACAAACTGAAGAAAAAAACAAGCCGCAGCAACAACAATAATAATAACACAGATATCTACTTGTTGTTTTTAAAATAAAGAAACTAAGAAGATTTTTCCCTTTAATACACTTAGAAAATCAGAAACCATGACTTCACTGTACTTCATTTTTAGTTATTTTATTTCATAACCCCAATTCCCATTTTACCAAATTTACACAGTTGAAACCATAACAATATGACAATATTCTCTAAAACTCAGTTTATCATTTGGAACCCTATTTCCCTTTCCACTTTTTCCATTAGTAACGTGTCTTAACTCTGATAACACACATGTATAATTTGCATCAACATCATTCAGGTAAAAGAAAAAAAGGTGAAGGAAAAACTGAGAAAACTTTAGGTGCAATATTCTTTTAAGCAACAGTACTTGCTGTGTGGTTCATGCTATATGCCAGACACAGAGAATACAGCAATGAATAAAACAATTTCCACCCTCATGAAGCTTATATCCCAAGGGAAATCAAGGATATCCAAACAACAAACATAACTGGGTAAACTCAGGATAGGTTGGTAGATGTGAGAGCACAGTTACAAAAACTACAGCAAATGCAACAGAGGCAGAGGGCTGTGCAAACAAGTCTTGTTGTCACTACCATCCTAAATACTATTTATGGAATAGCTTTCATTTTAATTCTGTAACACAACTTAGAATAAAAAACCTAGCAAATTAACACAGTTGTGGAAGCATTTTCTATAACCATGCCGAACAATTTCTGATAATAGCCTGAAAGACCAAACACAATGAATCCCACCTGAGTTTGTTTTCTTTTCCTGAAAGCAGCAAAAAAGAAATAGTAAATATGCCTAATACTTACCACATAATAAAATCTTTTTGCAAGGGTATGTATGAAGATTATTTTGGCTACTGCTGCAGTTCCATACAGACAAACGGAGACATAGAAGTGGTTATACCATGAGAGAGACTGTCCAATAAGAGAGATGAACACTGCTATAATGAGAACCATAACAAGGCTAGTGAACCAGCTAATGAGAGTGATGCCAAGTCCACACAAGAAATCTTTCGTGTAGTTAACAGCTAAGAAAGAGAAACAAAAAGTTGAAGTCACTATCTTCTCAAATCAATTACATAACCAGTTAGCAAGCTAAAAAGACAAATGTTTAAAAATCCACCACCATAACTGAAAATTACTGAAATGTCCTAATGTTGAGGACTATTAATTAAATGTTGGAACTGGAAAAAGATAGAAGAATGTTATCAATAAATCAGATGTCTTCTAAATTCAGGTATACCCTTACTAGGGAAGTTGGTCATTTTAATCTTTTTTTTTTTAACTGGATTTTAAACTCTGGGACACTTAACTACTGAGCCATATCCCCAGCCCTTTTGATTTTTTATTTTGAAATAGGGTCTCACTAAATTGCTCAGAGTCTCACTAAGTTGCTGAGGCAGATTTTGAATTTGTGATCCTCCTGCCTCGGTCTCCCAAGTTGCTGGGATTAAGATGTGCACCACTGTGCCTGGAGGTTTATTTTAATCTTTAAAACCTTAGGGATGCTTTATGTACCAAAATATTAACCAGGAAAGAAGATAAAGTTCCATATAAAATTTTCCTAAAAGAAACTGACATAGGAAGGCGAAATAGCATGGGAAAATAGCTAGTAATAAAAAATTATTTTAATTTGTTGCTAAATATTTTATTTTGTAACAGCACATAACACCTTAGTCTCAGAAACATTTCAAACAGAAGGGACCAATTTAAACAAAGACAATTTGTTCATACTTCACAACAGTATGCTATTAGTCTACAGTGTGAACAAGACTTTTTTTATATAATGGGACTTTTCATTAAAAATAAATCTATAAATAGGGCCTGGAGGCATACACCTATAATCTCAGCTTGTTTCAGAGGCTGAAACAAGAGGAATGCAACTGGAAGCCAGCCTGGGCAAATTACCAAGATACTGTCTCAAAATTTAAAAAAAGGGGGAGGGAGTGTAGCTCAATGGTAGAACACTTTCCTAGCATGCATGAGGACCTGGGTTTAATCCCCAATACAGGAAAAAAAAAATCAATCTCAAGAAATCATTTTTCAATAGCTCCTATGTGGCACTTATATAGAGTACTTTTATGGAGTAAAAATGTACTTCACCAAGACTTAAATGTATAATAAGCATATCAATTTAACATTTATTTAGAAATCTCTTATAATATAAAATCAAGCATTATTTTCTTAAGATATTTTAATGTTCTGGAAAGATATAAGCACAGTAACTTTTTAGCAAATCCTACAACAGTGTTTGCAATTTTAGAGGAAAATACTTACTGTTATGTTTGGGTTGCCAAAATTTTTTGCCCAGGTACAAAACAACAGCCATTGCCACCATGTAGTTTATTATTGAGCCAACACGAGATGGGTAGGCAATGACGAATAGGCCAAGTACATCAAAGAAAACCATGTTTCCATGTTGATACTCTGAAGAAGTAGCCAGCATATCAGACGTAGCTAGATATTTAAGAACTGCTAAAATGTTATCACCTATTAGTAAAGAGAAATAACAAGGTTGAATCAACTATTTGAAAGAAATTTATATGTAAAACAGAAATAAATTATTATTTGAATAAGAAATTAACTGGGAGCCAGGCACAATGACACACACCCTAATCCCAGCAACATGGAGGCTGAGATGGAACAAACAAGACTTTGAGATCATACTCACTAACTTAGAAAAACCCTGTCTCAAAAAACAAAAAAAGGGCTGGGATGTAGGTCATCAGCAGACCTGGATTCAATCCCCAGTACCTCCATAAACAACAACAAAAAGGCTAGGCACACACCTGTAATCTCAGCTCAAGAGTTTGAAGCTGGAGAACCACAAGTTTGAGGACAGCCTCAGCAATTTAGCAAGACCCTGTCTCAAAATAAAATCTATAAGAGGACTAATGGTACATGTGGTGCAGTGGTAGGAGGCTTGCCTAGCATGCATGAGGCCCTGGGTTCCATCCCAAGCTCTGAGAAAAGGAGGGAAGGAAGGAAGGAGGAAGGGGCTGAATGTGAATAGACAAAGCTTCCTACCTCCTACTGCTCTCCCATTTTTCTTAAGTTTCTCAAATAAGGCCCATATTCCCTATTTTACTGCCTCTCAATTTGGAAGCAGACTTTGTCTTCTACTAGAACTATTCATTTTTGCAAAGAGCTCTAATACCACATCTGTTTCATCAGGCTAGTTCAGAGACCCCTATATCTTACTTACCTCTCAGAATTCAAGTTCTGCTTCCCCTGTCCACTGCCAATATAAATAAGAATCACCTTCCCACTTTCCACCATGGCCAATGGCATTCCATTTCCCTAGTCAGCTAAGCTTTATACTTTGTCATCTTTACTGCTGTCCATCTAATTTATCCCTTCCAACTTGTCAAGTCTTGCTGAATTTACATTTTAAATGCATCTAATTCTCCATCCCTCCCCTTTGGTTTCTATCTTTTGTCAACACCACCATAGTCTATGTCCCCCTTATTCCACATGAAAATCACTGTCAGAACAACCCGTCTCCACACCATCCACAATACATTACCAGATCAACAACATTTAAAACTGTCTTAATGAGTTCATGCCTGAACTCAGACCTTCAATGATTCCTCATCCTTTTGGCATCTTCTTACTGATTTTTAAAAAGCCTACAATTTTTCTCTCCCTCATATACTTTTACCTCATCTCCCTATTTCTGAAAATATTTCTTCTACTCCAGTCTGACCACCTACTCACCAATAGCCTCCTACACACAAACATACTCTACTCATATTATAAGCTTACTTGGAACATCCTCTTTTCTCTGCAGACTAAATTCTACCAACTCTATGGCTCAGCCTCAAATTTGTATCCTCTCATTCTGGACCTTTCCAGAAAGCACTTTAATTCCCTGACTATTAAGCCTCTCACCTACATGCACCACCCACCCAATCAGGGATCCAAGTTAACTATTTTCTACACTGGGTAAGCTGCCCACAGCTGTGTCATAATGCCACCTCCAATGTATGGCTTTTTACCCACTCTAGCTACAGATTTACTGGTCAACAATCCTACTGTAACCCAACTCCCTTTGCAAATCCTTGTAATGAATATTTCTATGTTCTTAATGGCTAAACAGACAGCAAGACTAAAATTTAAGCCCTTATCTCTCCAATTCCAAATCCCTACCTCATTCTACCACATAGTGCCTCTCTAAAGCTCAAGCCACAGAATATTTATAGATTTTTACAGGTCATTACTAAAATTTCACCTTATTGTACATTAAAAGTAGAATTTGGAATACCAACCTGCTCTCTGAATGGAGTCTGTTAGAATTCTGTCTGCTGTGTCATACTTGGTGTGATAAATATATCCATTTTCAATAAAAGCTAAGTCTATTCCTAAGACATATAGAAAAACAACAAAAAAAAAGTCATTTTGTTTTAAATATCAAATTTGTTTTAGACTTGTTTAACATATTAAATTCCTAAAAGACAAAATATCAAAGGGGTGGGATGATTGCTCTGTCATATTTATTAGTGAATGATATAAATTCTCTTCTACATTCTTACAAACTCTGTACATATGGTACATGATTCAATATATAACGACTGAGGAAGTATACTACTTCATAGGAAGGCATTATAAGTCACACAGCAGGAGGTAGGGATGCTAAGTTTGGGCAGTCATCAAAACTTTGCCATCTATATCCTTGCTGGGCCAAAGCCAAATTTTAATTTCAAATAGCTCTATAAGTCCCCAAGGGAGTTGGCAAAGCAAGACAACAACAATGAAAGTCAAAGACCCCTGAAGGATCTATTACCATCTTTTGGGAATGAAGTGCTAAACAGTTCTCCCCTGTTTCTTCTGTCACATTGTGGGGCAAGATGATATATTCTAAAGGAGGCAAACATTTAAATTAGTATGAAGTTTTAAAAGGAAAACATTAAGAACTCTACTTAATGAGTCAGAATGCACAACTCTCATACAGAATATACTCTCAAAAAATGCTGCTTACTCATAACTTTCAAGAGGTAAAGCTTGCTTTTGAAAAATCAATGTTGCACAATAGCCTATAATCATTGACAAAATACCTGGAATGTTCCCAAAATCCCTGAAGATACGGAAGTCAGTATCTGAAGGAATGATTCCACTCTGAAAAACCTCCTGACCCACCACAGATGCAAAAGGGTGTTTAGCTGCTGTTACATAAGCTTGAACCAACCAAGGATTTTCAGGACCTGAAATGAAACATGACAATATAATACAAGGTTAACCTAGTAATTTTTTTTTAAACATAGAATACTAATATTCTTTTCTTGAGGGATGGGGGTGGAGCAGGAGCAGGGAGTGGTGCTAGGGATAAAATCCAGGGCGTAGGGGCAATCTAAGTAGGCACTCAACCACTGAGCTACATCCCCGATCTAGAAATAATATTTTTAACATACCCAAAAAAGGAACGTAGTGGCTTTTTAAATGTATTATTTTTAATCCCTTTTCTATATTTTCAAATGTTTAATATGTGTGCGTTTATGAGTTTTAAAATGAAAAAATAAACAATTTTATAAACAATTTAAATATAAAATAACAACAGTACACAAAGTTTAAGTCTGAATCTGGGTTTTGGTACACACCTATAATCCCAGCTACTCAGAAGGCTAAGGTAGAAGGACTGCAAGTTCAAGGCCAGCCTAGGCAACTTAGCCAAGACTTTGTCTCAAAAAATAATTGGGGTAGGGATATGGTTCAGTGGTAGAGCATCCCTGGATTCAGTCCCCAGTACTGAGAAGAAAAGTAAAAGAAAAAGTTTAAGTCTATAAATGGAAAAAAATCATTCATAAGTCTATCATCCTAAGATAACTACTATCAATTTTATATCTTCAATTTTTTTTTTAATTTTTTTTAGTTGTAGATGGACACACTATCTTTATTTTATTTGTTTATTTTTATGTGGTGCCAGGAATCAAACACAGTGCCTCACACATGATAAGCAAGTGCTCTACCACTGAGCCACAACTCCAGTCCACGTATCTTCGATTTTCTAATGTATGAATGTGTATAAATAGCAACAATGTACAAAGTCAAAGGGTACACTTTATACATTGTTGTTTCACTTAACATTATATTATGAAATCTCCTATGTTGCTAGATATTACAAGGTTCATTTTAATAATTCCTATAACATTATACTGATTATACCATAAAGTACCTTACTACTGCTTATAATTTATCACAATTAATAATTCTGCATTCCCATCATCATTCTTTTTTTTTTCAAATTTATTTTTTAGTTTTCAGCAGACACAACATCTTTATTTTGTATGTGGTGCTGAGGATCGAACCCAGGCCGCACGCATGCCAGGCGAGCGCACTACCACTTGAGCCACATCCCCAGCCCCCATCATCATTCTTAAATACCTTTTTCTAAATTGGGAGTTCTTCCTTTAGAATTATGGGATAAAGTACATTACTGTTCCAAATTATTCACTCTTTCCTCTCTGAAAAAGAATTCTATATTTCTAACCTTAGCACATAATGCCTCTTCACATGATCAACTGCATGCTTGGCCACATGATTTGCTCTGACCAACAGAGTGTGAGTAGGAATGATGTAACCCTCAACATAGCAGGAAATCTAAAAGCCATTCCATCCCTCTCTTTAACTTTAGCCATGAGGTCACTACATCTCTGATGGTGGCTTCTCCTTTACTCTAAATCCCAGAATGAATAAGACACATGAAACATAATAATCTTGGAATGACTACAGATACCCAAAACTGAAAACATGACATGAACAAAAACTAAGCCTTTGTTATTGTAAATCACTGAAATTTTAGGCTTCTTATAACAAAACTTGGCAATACATTGATTTAACAGATAAAATAACTATTTCAGAGCATCTGGGAATATTGTTTTCATAACTTTATAAACAGATTATCCTATAATAAAAAGATGACTGAACAAAAAGGGGGAAGGCACTATAAACACATAGAAAAGATTCATCCTGGAGTTATCACACATAGATTTTTTAAATAATTATGTTTAATATGCTAAAAAGAACAAAAAGAAAAAGGAATGGAATATACAGAAATGTGTACAAGAAACATATGAGATCATTGAAAAGTCTATCCAATGCATGATTAACTGCAGTCCTAGGAGAACAGGAGACAAAATGGAGCAGAAGCAATGCTAGATGCAGTGGTACACACACATAATCCCAGCTACTCGGGAGACCAAGGCAGGAGGACTGCAAGTTCAAAGCCTGTCTGGACAACTTAGGGAAACTCTGTCTCAAAATTTCAAAAAATAAAGAAAAAGAACTAAGTATGTAGTTCAGTGGTAGAGTACCCCTGGATTCAGTCCCCCATACATTAAAAAAAAAATAAAATAAAATAAAAAAGTAATGTCAGTAACAAAACATGTAATATACAAAACAAAATAAAAATACATGAAATATGGAAATAAACATACACCAAAAGAGAGAGAAAGAAAGGAAAGCCTTCCTTCTAGTATAATTCCAACTATTTAATACAATTAGAACGATGAAGAGAAAAAAACCTCAGTAAATAGTATAAGTAGTAAAAATTTCTTAGGGCAAGAATTATGTGATTGCTAAAACTAGGATCAAAATTTGGTAAGTAATCTCAAAGTAGTTACTATGAAGGGGAAAAACAGTAATTTGTACAAAGAGAAACAGTTGAAAACCCTGGAAAATACCTTAATCAAATGAGAATAAGTTAATATTATCAATAATAAAGACAAAAAGATACTACAGGCCTCTTGATGTGACGCACTAAGGACAAAAATACAAATGGAAAAAGAAAAGCAGTAGTGGGGAAACATATGAGACCCTACATTAATATAATTAACCCTACATTATTATAATTAAACCATTATTAGTATTATAATTAGATATTGATAATTAAAATCATACTGAAAAACAGGTAAAGCTCAACTATAAAAAGTGATTATCACTAAAATCAGAATAACAGTCTTAGATGGGAAGGAAATAGTTCAGTGTAGAATACCTGCTTAGCATGAGGCAAGCCCTGTGTTTGATCCTCAGCATGAAAGGAAGGAAGAAAGGAACTGTATTTGAAGAGGCAGAGGTGGAAAAATTTGGGAGGAAGAATGGCAAGAGTCTACACTTGGTCATGAGGTGAAGACAGAAGGGTGTTCACCTTATAATAAAGTTTTATACTTTGTATAAATTATACAATGGCTGTGATATATTTACTAACACATGATAAGTTAAATGCTATGCTTGATATTAGATTGGAATCCAGATTAAAACAACAAAAACTGTTAAGACAGTATTAGAATGCCTGAAAAAATCTTAAAATAAATTTTCACTAGATAATAGTTTTTATATTATAATGTTAAATTTCTTAAGTATGATAAATGTATTATCACAGAGGATATCCATATTCTTTACTTACTGATATGATACTGAGATTACCAACTGACATGATTTTTCTCCTTTATTCTGATAATGCAGTGAATTATATAGATTTTCAAATATTTCAAATATAAATCATCTTGTTGCTTAACTTGGCTGAAAAGTACCTGTTTTGTATGTATAAACTACTGGATTCAATCATTAATACTTTATTTAGGACATGTGCATCAAAGTTTGATGTTATACACCAAAAATCTCCAAAGTCAAACACATGCATACCTTATAACTCAGCAATTGTACTCAGAAATGAACATACACATATATGTGTACCACAAGATACCTACAAACACACTTACAGCAGGCCCATTCATAAGAGGCAAAGACTGAAAACAAACTAACGTCATCAGAATAATAAATATAGTTGTACAATGAAATATTATTCAGCAATGGAAAACAATGAACTACTGCTAAACAAAAGATGAATCTTACAGCCAGAAGGTTGAATGAAAAATTCATACACACAAAGAAAATATAATGTATGATTTGATTTATACAAAGTTCAAATACAAGCAAAATTAAATCAAGATATGTTGATATATTGATAACCTTTGGGGGCAGGAATGACTGAGAAGGCCATAAGGTACCTATCATTTTCTGCCTTGATCTAGGTGGTACTTACATGATTATATTGCATTTGTTAAATTCACTAAGCTGAACATTAAGAGCTGCGAACTCTTCTTACATTATAATTAGAGATGAAATAAAGATACCATTTTATGCTCTGTACCATAAAAACTACTTGAGAAAAACACAAGGCCCATTAGTAGGAAAGGGATTTACAGTTTTAAAGATCTACTACCTGGTCTCTAACCCAGTATAGATTCCACTGCAACATCAAAGCGCTCTAGCCCTACTCCAGCCTCTCATGGATCATCCACTGCAATCTACAGGTTGTGGACAGGTCAACTTTGGGTATAAAAAGGGAGGGTAGGGAGACTGGAAGGGGAAGATAGATCAGCTCCTGAGTAAGATAATCCCCATGGTATAAACAAAAGGGAGCCCTTTAAATGAGAAATTCCCTGCCTTGATCTGAGTGGTTCTTACCACCCAGATATATACCTAAATATTTTATACTACATTGTTATTAATCATAAGAGGTAGGTACAGGTATAGCTCAGCAGCAGAGCGCTTGCCTCGCACACATGAGGCACTGGGTTCAATCCTCAGCACCACATAAAAATAAATAAATATTAAAAAAAAAAGAGGTAGATACAAATAGTATCCCATTTTTACAGAGGAGAAACTATAGCTTGAAGCAGTTATAAAATTTGTCCAATGTTCAGTGCTTACAGCATACTGCCACTAAGGTTGTGAGGTTTGAGCTTATGTCATTTAATTACAGACCCTGGACTCTTCATCACTCCCGTATCTCACCTTCTCCCAAAAGCTTTTATCTTAGTTATCCTAAAAGAGAAAGGTATCAGACACATTTAGAAACATTTTCAATTTGCATTCTATCTCTTGCCATCATCAAAATCCTTCATGCTTCCAGGTTGTGTGTATCTATAAATTACTTCTTAAAGAATAAGCCCATACCTATAATCCCAGTAACTCAGGAGACTGAGGCAGAAGGATAGAGACCCTAGGCAACTTAGGGAGACCCTGACTCAAAAAAATTTTAAATAGGACTGGGTATGTAGCTCAATAGTAAGGCACCCCTGGGTTCAATCCCCAGTACCAGAAAAAAGAATGAGTCACTTTTTTCATGCAAAGAGTTTAGGCATACGTGTTGTTGAAGGGAACTAGAATTCAGTGAAAGAATGAAAAGTCAAAGCTCCCTGAAACGAAGTGAAAACAGAGCTACATCGTCATTGTCACAGCTCTACCTCTTCACATTTGGGTGGTGGCACTGGCACCCAGAGAAACAAAAAAAGGAAACTCAATAAAGGAGAAAAAATGGTAAATATTATTAATGAAGCCAAGAAAGATAAGGCCTGAAAACTGGACACTGAATTTGCCACAGCAACTTTATTAACAAGAGTAGTTTTGGTGAGAAGGTTAAAGCTTATAGAACTGGTCCAAAAGCAGAAACAAGTCACTTGGAGAAAACAACCATAGATCAGTCTCAAAAGAATTTTGCAGTAGATGGTCAGAGAAATAAGGCAGTAGAGTTGGGTTGGGAGAAAAAGTGGTTTTCTTTAAGATGAGAGAAAGAGTTCATTTCTGTAGAGAAGAAAAAATGAATGATGGAAAAACAAAAAAGAACTTAAGAGAAAAGAATTTAAGTCACCATCTATATAACCAGTCTCCTACTCATGAACCTTAAAGTTAATTTAAATGTTTCACTCATAAAAAAGCCAAGCCAGGTGTGGCGGTGCATACTTATAATCCCCAACTTGGGAGACTGAGGCAGGAGGATAGTTCCAGGCTAGCCTGGGCAACATAGTAAGACCCCATCTCAAAAAAAGTCAAGAAGACTATGTAACACTTAGCCCTATATGTCCAAGTCAACCATTTCTACAAAATAAATTCCCAGAATTGAACCAGCTAGACAGAAGAATCTACATTTCAAAAAGTAATACATATACCGTACTGTCATGTATATCTAAAAACAACAACAACAACAAAAAAGTAATACATAGTCAGGCATGGTGGCCTGACTATAATTCTAGCAACTCTAGAGACTAAGGCAGGAGATCACAAGTTCAATGCCAGCCTCAGAAACTTAGCAAGGCTCTAAGCAATTTAGCAAGATCCTGTCTCTAAATAAAAAATAAAAAGGTCTAGGGATATGGCTCAGTGGTTAAGCATCCCTGGGTTCAATACTCAGTACCAAAAAATATATAATTCATATTGACAAAATACATCATTCTACATTTCTACCAATAAATAGTGTATAAAAGATGCCTGTTTCTCTAATACTCCAAATGTCCATCAGTTAATGAAATTAATAAACAAAATGTGATAGATCCATATACAATGGGCTATTCATCCATTTAAAAGAAATGAAGTACTGATACATACTAGAACATGGTAGAACCTCAAAAACATACTAAGGAAAAGAAGCCACATACAAGATGCCATGTTATTTGTTTCCATTAATATGAAATATCTAGAACAGACAAATCTGTAGAAATAGAAAATTGGCAGGTGGTTGCCTGCGTTTGGGACAAAATGGGAATGAATGCATATTGAGTATAGGGGTTTTTTTCAGGGTAATAAATACATTTTATAATTATGATGATGATCACTCGACTCTTGTGGATATATCTAAAAACCACTTAATTTTACACTTTTCTCTAAATTATATCTCAATAAAGCTATAATTTAAATAAAAAGAATGCATTCTAAAGAAAAATATAAAGCAGAGTATAATCCTGTTTTATTTATATACACGCATACACACACAGAAAAAAAACATATTCCAAAAGGATGTAGACTAAACTGCACTGGTTTGCTCTAGGTGGTAGGAACAGAAACATGAATATTTTCACAAGAGAAAATAAAAGATTCTGTGATCCTTTTTGTTTATGGGCTTTCTTGCACTCAAAGTTGGTAGTATCTGAAATTCTTTTTTTAACGAGGAACTTATATTACTGATCTAATCTATCTAAATTTTAAAAGGATGGATTTTAAAACAACTTCACTATTATTAAATCAAGCCTTCCCAACTCATTAAATCATTGAGCTGATAAATCAGTCTTTCTGGCCCTTCTTTAAAAAATTAATAGTAATGATTATTCTAGTCACTAAAAACTCAAATAGAGGCTGGGGCTGGGGCTCAGCAGTAGCACACTTGCCTGGCATGTGTGAGGCACTGGGTTCATTTCTCAGCACTGCGTATAAATAAATAAAATAAAGGTCTATTAACACCTAAAAAAATATTTTAAAAAAACCCTCCCAAATCAACATCTCTCAGAAGTGACAACAAAACTAGAGTATAGACTGTTTTAACTGAAAAGTTTCTAGGACAGGACAAGTAAATTATTACCACACAGGAAAAAGGGCTTATTTAAAACGCAAAGGACAGAGCCATCTGCCTTATGCTTTCAAGCACAATTCCAAATGTCAAGGGGCGGGCGGGGGGAGGATTTGTCCGTTTTTATTTTTATTTTTTTTTAATTGTCGATGGACTTTTATTTTATTTATGCATTCTATGTGGTGCTAAGAATCGAACCCGGTACCTCACACATGACAGGCAAGCACTCTACCGCTGAGCCACAACCCCAATCTGGATTTATCCTCTTTTAGTTAAACATGGAAACAATACTAACTTTCAGAAAAACGTACCCACAAAAGCTAGTCTTTGTAGGCAATGGGATCAAAAGTGAAAGCAATACTGGGAAAGGTACAAGAATTTCAGAAAGTACTCAGAGGAAGCTTTCAGGTATGCAGTTTAGCCACAAGAATAAGCTCCAAAATTAGGAGCGGGGGGGGGGGGGGGGAACAGTATAAAATTTCATCCAAATCTTTTGTTGATGATCCTTCAGAAATACATTACTTTCGAAATATGAGGGTTTTAGAATGAGTAAAACATTTAAATTATATATAAACATTCTGCTATTGAGTCCTAAGTCACTGTTTTGCTTTATTATTAAAGTAACATATGCACTGCAAAATTTTAAACAATTCAGAAAGTAAAATAGTAATGACAATTCTGGTCTTATTTCATGAAGTAGTGTAGAGCTCAAACTGCTTTTTTACATTTTGCCCCATCTCAGCTCCAGGCACAACCCCCCTAGCTCCACTAATAAATACCCACTATTTAACTGTGACTATTATTAAATTTATTTATAGCCTTCTAGATAATGCAATTATTTCTAAAATTTATGTAGCTATAGAATTTTTAAATAAAATACATACATTAAGTGAAGAATAAGGACTTTGGGCTAGTCAGACCTAACAACAGTGAGTACTGAATAAATATAAATAAATAAAGAAACTGACTTGGGACTCGACCTGACTAACCCTAGGTAAATGTGCTTTCAACTGTTTGGGCTATACATATGTAAAATATGCTAATATATATGCACACAGAAAAAAATTCAGGAAAGCTACAGACTAGCATATAACACTGGATTATACCTGGATAGGAAGAATATGGGGATAGGGTGCTATGACAATAACTAAAAGCATGAATATAATATAAGCACTTAGCATACAGTATACTTATGACAAGGAAAACATACAGACATGCTACTGTTCATATGAAGCCCTGAGATTTTTTCCTTTTTTAAAAAAGGAAAGAGTAACTTAAAGTCCTCTTTCCTTACAAATTTTCTGCTACCACTTTTTTATTTGGTCATTGTTGAATGTGTTCTTCCTACCCTGAATGACATCCCAGAGGTGTGAATAAAATGTAGCAGCTACTTACTCCTATGTTAGAGTCCAGCTTCTTCTCATTAGTTAGATGAAGAGGAAGCAATGAGGTTTGAGAGCTGAAAAGAATGTAAAAACCTCGCTGCTTTTAATCTTATGACCTTGAGATTCTCAGAGACTTAGCTGAAGTAAAGCACACATCCATTTTGAAGCATGAAAACTTAAGTTGGATGGATAGTAAGTATGGTACTGCTCATGTTACAAAAACATACTTAGCATTTAGCATAACTTCATAACTTAAACAATACCATGTCTTTCATGGGTGCTATAAAACAAGTTCCCATTATCACCTTATTCACTTCCCTCACCAATCTCACCCAACACACTACTCAATATTAAAAATTTCTGGCAAATGTTTATGTCTGGATAAAATACATAACCCAAATTTCTAACAGAGCAGGGAAAAGGCATGGAACTTCCATTGTCAGATTTTAGTAGACCCTGACTAAATAAATCTATGAGTTTTGAATTAAGAAAGATGATAATTACATATTTATCAACTGTAACTTTTTATCATTAAAAAGCTTAATCATAAAATTTAAAATATTTCACTGGGAATGGTGACACACACCTATAATATCAGCAACTCAGGAGTATAAGGCAGGAGGAACACAAGTTCAAGGTGGCTAGCCTCAGCAACTTGGCAAGGCCCTAGGCGACTCAGTGAGAAGGGTCTCAAAAAAAAAAAATTAAAAGGGCTGGGGATATGGCTCAGTAGTAAAGTACCTCTAGGTTCAATCCCCAGTATCAAAAAATCAACTAAAAAAATTTTTTTAAACATTTCTCTGGTGGATTAAATATTATTGGATTTCTTTTTACATTCAAATTAATTCAATGATAAATTTAAATACCTTAAACTACACATAAATTTTCTCATTTTAATTCATGAAATGATTCTCATTTAAAGTTATTTATATCAGGATCACCCATAATGAATAAAATGTTCACTACCTACATGACATTCTAAACTTGAACTGCCTAGATTCAAATCCTGCTCTGCCATTTACCAACTCTGAAAACTTAGGTAAATTTATACTTTTTTATATTCTACAAAGAATGCTCATTCAAGACATACTTCATTAAAGACAGTGGGTATGTTCCTCAGTGAAAAGAGCACTTGCTGAGCAAAAACAAAAAACAAAGAGATTGTTTAAGGAATTACTTAAGTCAAAAAACTTTCCACTTTAAAAAAAATCAGAATTGCCTTAAAATACACAGAGCATGGTGTTGCATACCTGTTTGGAACACAAGTTCTTTCCCTCCTACACCAGCTGCTTCCAGGTTAATAAAAGCACGAATCAGGCTGGCCCAGGGGTGCTGAGTAATGAAACCATGACTGGCCTTAATGAGAAGGAAAGAAAATAAATACAGGGTAAATGATCAGAACCTAAATTTTTTACTGTACTTATTTAAAAGGACAGATTGGCTATCTTCATGAGGTAAAGAATATAAGAACAAAAGAATCATTTCTCAAAGGCAGTCGCTGAAGACATCCTCTGTTTCTCTTTACATCTAATGGCTGTGTGCAGTCTATTGAGTTTTAGAAAGTCATTTATCAGAGAGGCAGCCTGAGTGGTGCCATGAGTGGTGCCAAACAACATCCTTGGTAAATGTGAGGCTGGGCAAAAGAAAGACAAAAAGAACAAGAGTAAGGAAGAGATAATTCGCATGGCAGGGCATTCATTCTATATGCCTGTCTGAAAACATCTCTGTAACTCCAAAAAAAACTAAATATGAGTTATTATGCCATCAAAGAGCTCTCAAAAGAATCAAACACTGCCAAGATGAACTGTTCTGAGTTGAGTTCTTCATATACTGAACATGTTAACATCAGTGGATTTTCTAAAGTACTGGCAGGTACAATATGTTTTTTGCATACCATTTTATAATACTATTCATATGAATAATAAAAATGCATAAGTGTTAGTTATTGTTATTATTCTCATTATTACTCAAGCCTGGTATTTAAAACAGTTCTCACCTGCAAGACATTTTCTTCAGCACCATTGAAGAGAAACACCACAGCATGCCGTAAGGATTCTGAAGATGTTGATAAGACACGAAGGACTTCCAACATTACTGAACAACTAACTGCATCATCACTGGCACCTTCAAACCAGAAAAACAGATTTGCTTCTCAGATTTTAGAACTTTTACATTATAATTGTAATGCCTTAGAATGGAATTTTTTCCCTCAGAGAAGAATCACAAAAGCTGCATGATCAGAAGCATAACTCTGTCATTGTCAGGTGACCACTATCCCTACCACAGATAAACCTCATGAGGATCTTTGGTTTGCTCACTGACTTACAATCAGAGACTGGAACCAATCCAGGCTCACAGTAGACTGTATCTATTGAATAAAGCAAACAGATGAGACCTAAAGTTATACTGGAAACTGGTATTCTCAGCAACTGAATGCTATTTATCATTTTTTTTCCTTATTCTGCATCCTCTAATATTCTCATTTCTGGTACCTACTGCTTCCTTCATCATCTCCCATTGCCACCCACTCCCTTCTTGCTTATTTTCCTACCAAGATCATAAAAGCTACAAATCATTCCACATCAACAGAGGGGATGGTTTGGATGGTACAGTACTTTTTAAGGTTCTTCCAAGCGGATCAATCATATGATGGAAAAGCACAATGAAAACATTTGTCTGGTAGATACAGTAGCCTAACTAAGTCATATATCTGGTCCCACCACTGACAAAGCAGAGGATTTAGTCAAATCTCCTAACCTCTTAACTCAGAAATTTTATATGTTGATTAAAGGATATTATAAAAAGGACTCTGGTGCCTTATTTTTTTTAAAGCACTGTAAGAGGTAGTTAAAGGAACTGACTGGATATTTGATGGTATTCAGGAATTATTGTTAGGTTTTATAGGTGAAGTAACTAGTAGTATTATGATCATGTCAAATAATATAGAATGAAAAACAGAGAAACCAATATAGCTAAGATCTGCTTCAAAATCATCAAAGAACAGAGGGGTAGAAGCAGAAAATTAAGACTGGATCACTGAAGTTGAATGATAGGTACATTGGGGTTCATTAAACATTCTCTTTTTATGTATTTGAGATTTTCCATAATAAAAAGTTTAAAGAGCCAGGGGTAGTAACTCACACCTGAAATCCCAGCTTGGGAGGTTGAGGCAGGAGCATTTTGAGTTCAAAGTCAGCCTTAGCAAGACCCTGTCTCTAAATAAAAAATAAAAAGGGCTGAAGACGTGGCTCAATGGTTAAGCATCCCTGGGTTCAATCCCTGGTACCAAAAATAAACAAAAAATTTAAAACAATAAGTTTAAAGAGTATTCCAAGTAAATAAACTATCATAACCCAAGCAAGAGCATTTCTGGATCTACGCACTGGGAGGCAGTGTGCTCCAGTTTAATGGCTATTTTAGAAAAGGAAAGATTAGGAAATAAATTTTAGCCCTTGCTTTACTCCACTATTTTCCAGTCTAGGAAGCAGAATAATGACAGCCACCTCCCAGGGTTGTTGTGAGGATTATACAAGACAAACCTGGTACCTAAAACCTGGGAGGCATTCCATGTTAATTTTTCCTTCTCCTCTCAGTAAACTTATTCCATGAAGTTCCAAGTTTTCAATTCTGGGAACATAATGTTCAAATATCATTTCAAAGTGGACATAATTAGTATATTTATTGCTCAATTTAAGTTTTTATGGCTGTTCCACATCTGACACAATGAGACAAAAGGGGTTAAGGACGCCAGCTAAAATAAAAATGCTTGTTTGGGCTTTGTTAAATTCTAGATCCAATTCCTACTGAAGAAGAAACACTATTAACAATTCTTGTCTTGGTAGTGATTACTGAATTGTGGTATTAATCAAAATGAAACAAAGTAATAGTTATCTAATTACTATTCTGCAAGAATATGTTGCCATTACTAAAAAGTGCCACCTTGGGCTGGGGATGTGGCTCAAGCGGTAGCGCGCTCTCCTGGCATGCGTGCGGCCCAGGTTTGATCCTCAGCACCACATACAAACAAAGATGTTGTGTCCACCGAGAACTAAAAAATAAATAAATAAATAAACCTCTCTCTCTCTCTCTAAAAATAAAAAAAATAAAAAGTGCCACCTTTGGCTAGGTATGGTGGCATGAACCTGGAATCAAGAGGGTGAGACAGGAGGATGATGGTAAGTTGGAGGCTAGCCTGGGCAACGCAGCAAGACCCTGTCTAAAAATAAAAACTAAGGGTTGGGAATGTAGCTCAGTGGTAGAGTGTCTCCGGGTTCAATCTAATTACCAACAACAACAAAAAAGGGCTGGGGCTATAACTCAGTGGCAGAGCGCTTGCCTAGCATGCGTGAGGAACTAGGTTAAGTCCTCAGCACCACATAAAAATAAACAAATAAAATAAAGGCATTCTGGCATTCTGTCCATCTACAACTACAAAAAAATTTTTTTAAAAAAGTGCCGTCCAGAAATAAAAACATTTTTTTAAACATTTACTTTTTTTTTTTTCAAAGATGGACATAATATTTTTACTTATTTTTATGTGGTGCTGAGGATAGAACCCAGTGCCTAACATGCGTGAGGCAAGCGCTCTATGGCTAAGCTATAACCCCAGCCCCAAAACATTTACTTTTACTTTGAGGCTGAGAATCATTTTATAATAAAAAGCAAACAATAAAATTTTTCTTTATTAAAAGTAAAAGGGAAATTAAAACATATTTATCATTATAGGGTTGATTAATAAATTATTCCATCCATTTATCTTCCCTTATTTTAATGGTTCTGGTATCTTAGAAGAGAGAGAAAGGGGAGTAGTTGACCAACATACCTTTCTGTTTAGAATTAACCCCAAAATTGAAGCCACCCCCCAAATAACTCAATAACTCTTCTACCAATGACTGAGAACCTCACAGCAGACTCAAAAAGATAATTAAGGCTTTTGTGTGAATAAGATTACTCCTAATTGGTACTAGTTCCTGAGTTTCAAAAACAATAGGGCTGGGGATGTGGTCAGGTACCCCTCAATCCTCAGTACAAAAAAAAAAAAACTCATACTTCAATTTCTATCCCACAAGAATAATTTAGGTAATAGTCTATTTGATGAATGTGCAAAACCTTATTTTATTATTTTTAACAACTTTTTGACAGAAATTTCCTTGAGACTATTGGTATAGGTATTCTTATAAAAATTTAGGTAAAAATGGATTCTAATGGCTCACAAAAATACCATTCTTTAATTAGCACACTACATATGCAATTTATGACACTTGGCCCCAAGAGTAACAGAATATGCCACTCCAATATATGCCACTTTGGCATAAGGATTATTTTGAGCTGAAAGCAACTGAGAAGTGGATAAATGCTCTTGCCTTCCTCCTACTCCAATATATGCCACTTTGGCATAAGGATTATTTTGAGCTGAAAGCAACTGAGAAGTGGATAAATGCTCTTGCCTTCCTCCTATTTGCCTAAAATAGGCAATAGGATATAAATTTATGGAGGTATTCTACCTTCCCTCTCTACCAAGAAGGTCAAAGGCTGATCACCAAAGACAATTTTAGACCCTTATTAACCTAGAAACTGCAGCGGAGAAATCTAAATAACAAACTTTACTAACTAGTTTTATCTACAATATATTTATATTCAAACAATGTACTGGCCATGGAGACTCGGAGTCCTTTTCCTTTGTCTTGTCAATTCAAAAGGCACTGTGTTTTTGTTGAAGATGCTATATAAGCCAGAGTTCTAAGCCACCTCTTTGATATTTACTCATTTTCCCTGGATACCTTCCTTGTAATACATGGTAATAAACTTTGATTTTTCACTTTTCAATCTATCTTCTCAGGCTAGGGATATGGTTCGGTGGTAAAGTGTTTGCCTAGCATTCACAAGGTCCTGGGTTAGATCCCCAGCACTGCCCCCCAACCAAAAAAAACAATCTTTTTGTTATTACAGGAATTCAATCCATCTAAGAACTATGAAGGACAGAGGGAAAATTATTTTTTCTTCCTCTACATTTACTTATATACAAATCTTTCTTATATAATATCCTTTAAACAATTATGATACTTATGTGCCCCTTCCCAGAACTGATGTATAACAGAGGATGATGCTTGTTTTATTAGTGCTTTTATTCTGACATAAAATTTGACACTGGTTTTTCCAACATGGAGGAAAGTACTCCAGCTTTTACATAACAAATATGTGCATACTGATTTCTGAAAAAGCCAAGTACATTCTAAATGATAACATTGTAAAATGCTATTTTCTATTTGTATCTATCCACTTTTCCTACTTTAACTATTGAAAACAATTTTCTGAGGAATCTTATTTTACAAAATGAAAGTTCTATTTAGGAGATTTTCAATCATTTGGAAAATATACATTATATCAGGCACTGTCCTAAATATCAAGTATCCTATTTTTCCAGATATTTCAGAGCAAGATTTTAAATTAATTGTGTACTCTAACAGCAATGGCACACAAAATTCTCCCTTTACAAGTCAACAGAAACTGCCAGAAGTGGTATCCTCCAAATCATGTATCCCTTAAAGGCAAAGACTGTTCTTTACCAAGTATCCCCACTACTTTTACAATATCTAACTAAATAAACACTTGAAGTGACAGACCTGACTCTAGGACACAGGACACAGACTGGTAACACTGATTAGGCTGCTTCAGTCTACCAAAAACATTTCATGATTGGGCTACCAGCATTAATATTTTAAAAAGTAATAATAATGAAGCACATAAGAGAAAACTGAATGGTTAGATCTTAAAACTGATACCTTTCATCACAACAACAACAAAAAGACTTGTCCAAGAAAATGGCCCCCCAAAACTGCCCAAACATCTTCAGGTTGTTAATAAACTTTCTTAGCTGTTAAGTCTTAAAATGTCTGAAAAACAGGTACATACCTGGTGAATTTGCCACTGAGTCAAAATGACAGTTAGCCAGGACAGCATGCTGGGCTCCATCTCTGGGTTCCAGCTTTACCACAACATTGGTGATGTTGTCATAGTAGCTTGTAAAGCCTCCCAAGAAGTCAATGCTAAAGGAGCCTGTAGGCCGTTGTACATCCACTGAAATCTTGTGAAGTCTATTACTTTGAACTTCAATCAATTTAATCTGTTTCAAAAGGTAGTGCACAGTCAGGATTTCATTTTCTGGACTTCCTGTAGTCCTGGGGCCAATGGATGTTATATGTTCAAGATAATCCCTGGAAGCAGCCAAAAGAATGATGATGACAAACACTTGTAGGCTTAAAACTAACACTTAGAACAGAGCAACTTTTCTATTACATGCCACTTCTTCCCCCCCAAAAAAGCGTAGTTCTTTGGTTTCTCCTATTAAAAAAAAAAAATACTGCCTTGTTATTAAATCAAGCACTTATTTGCAAGCACCCTACCACTGAGCTACATCCCCAACCCTATAGAACAATCATTTGTAAAATTCCATCATTTTATTTTGCCTCCCAAGAGTTAATGCCTTCAGTTTTATCTACCCATCCGGCTTCCAGTTTCTCTCAATCTCCATAACAAATCAATAGAAAGACAGGATCATATTCAAAATGTGTGAACACTGAAGGCTGGATAGGAGAGAATACAACTTCAGGGTGCCACCACTCCTGAAGGTTATTAATTCTGGGTTTCCAATTCTAAGTGGCAGAAATCAATAAGCAAAAACAATCAAGTCAAGAGGGTAAATGAGCAAAGAAAAACATTTGGTGAGGAATGGACTCAGCCTTCCTTCTGTGCACACAGGACCTAAAAACTTCAATTCAGGCCACAACAACTCTATCCCAAAGCAAAAAAAAAAAAAAGTTTCAATGCTTACAAATAAGGAAAAAGAGAGGGTTAGGGGTGTTCCAGAAAGTCCTTAAAAAGCTTTCAGCACTTTGCAATCAAAGAAAAAGTTTTTAAAACACAATGATTGTTGAAAACTGCTGACTTATGATTTTATTAACTTTCAGACACTTATTACAATACCCCCAACTTAATCACCTTTCCTAACACACCTAAAGGTCTTTTTAAAAACAAAAGGTTAAACCTTACAGTCACTAACCTAGGGCACCCCCAAAGACAATTTGAGAACTTCTGAAATTGTGTGCAAAGTTTCGAATGGGTTTTCCATTGAGACTCCATAGCCTTCAGATTTGGGGGCTGTAAATCTCAGAAAGAACACTACACTAGACCCTTTCAACAGTGCCCCCCCACACACACACAACACACAAAACCGAATTTATAGTACAGTCTGGACACATATTATTTCTTTCTCATTCATTTCATTTTAAAAGTAAGAAAGCTAATCAAGGCAAAAAGTGAAAGTTGCTCCAGAAGATGCGGATACCACTAACAACCAATCATGTACAGGGAGAGCACATGAGTAAGTGAAAAAGGCAGCTCCACGTGTAAGTGAAAAAGGAGGCTCAATCCACCCGGCCACCCCGAATCTGTACGTACGTACCACGAGATAAACAGGAGACCAGACAAGTCCCCATCCTGGCAGTTCGGACCCCAGAAGAAGGGCACCTAAGGCAACCCCACCACACGTGCACCTGCGATGCGGGGACTAAACCTCCGCGTCCCGCACCGGCAGGTGCACGCAGGTACCGTGCCCTGGCGCCCGGGAAGGGAACGCAGAGGGACGCGCGGGCAGTGCCGGGCGAGAGCTGCCGGTACCTGGCATGGCGCGCGTCGAACTCGCCGGGGTGCCCAGAGGTCCCTCGCAGCACGAGCTGCTGCAGCGAGAGCTGTACCAGAAACCGGAGAGCGAGCAGGTAGACAGCGATTGCCACCACTGCGCGTGCCTCGCACAGCCCAGTCCACGCGCCCCGGCTAGCGCCGCCGCTACCCCCCGGGCTCCTCTTCCGCGTCCTCGGGCCTCTGGCCGCGTCTACCAAGGGCTCCTGAGCCGAGGCCTCCCTCTCCGATTGCGACGGAGCCTCCAGTCCTTCCCGACGCTCGGCTCCGACGCGATGCCGCCTCACAGCAGCCGGCTCAGAGCCCCACTCCATGGCCACCAGCCTTAGCCGCCAGCCCAACAGACCCAGCCCGCGACGGCCCCGGCAGCCGCCGCTGCCGCCGCCGCCGCCGCCGCTGCCGCTGCCGCCACCGCAGCGCCTCCTAGTGAGCGGACGGAAACTGCAGAGGGCCAAACTTCTTCTGATTGGCCCGTCCGGCGGCGTCGCGACCAGCTACTTTGTGCAGACCTCTGACCACGGTAGGGCAGGCCCAGACTGAGAGTGGTAGGTATTTCTTCTCCTGTATGGTTTCCCAGCCTGATGGGGAACAGAGATTTCCAAATGGAAGAACACCCATAAGTCTAGAAACGAACAACCTCAAACAAGAGAAAAGTGAGAGAGAGAGAGAGAGAGGAGAGAGAGAGAGAGCTTAAAAAAGAATGACGGTGGCTTTTATAGTGCACCTGGTGGATGAGGGAAACAATGGCCCGACTTTTGTAAAGAACATTAGAACAGGCTCAGAAAAAGTAGGTTCCTGACTCTTAACATGAGTAATAGGGCTCATTTTGCTTTCACATGAACAATCTAATCAGATCTTTATAACCTCGTGTCTTTTAGGAGTTCATGCTAAGAATCAAACACTGTGCCAAGTACTTTAACAGTGTCTTATTTAATTCTAAGAACCCGGAAAAGGAAATATTTCTATTTCTATTTAATACCCAAGAAACTTAGAGGTAGCAGATGAAGAATTGAAATCTAACTCCGTGGGCTTCCAAAACAGCATTTTGTTCCTCTACGACATGCGACACTCTGGAGAAGAAGATCCAAAAAAGTTATTCGTTTTTCAGTGTCACCCTCCGTGGTAAGAAGCATAGTCTTGGTTTTAGTGTGAATCCTAGCCATTAGTCTTCTTCCCTCTTGCTTGTGCAGTGAGCCTCTCTTCTTCTTTTGTGTAGTGAGCCTCTCTGCTTCATTTGTGTTTCCCGGGCATGCAGTTGATACAGTACCATGAGCCTTATCTGGAAACCAACTGGAAAAGCACACTGCACAATTTTGACTTAATACATTTGTCAGATACAATGCACTATGGTTTTCCTCCAGCTACTTCTCAGGCTCCTCTGCCATCAGAATGCTTCTTATTCCCAGCTCTCCAGCCGCACTAGCCTCTTTCAGACTTCCTGCTTACCATCTTTTCTTCTACAACATGATCTTCTCATATGCTATTTGGATTACCTAGAATGTTTTCCTTTCCCCCATTGCCTAGTTAATTTCTAACTCAGTCCTTCAAATCTCAGTGTAAGTGAGAAACAAGGCCACATAAGCCTGGGAGAGAATGTGTAAATGGTACTTCCTCAAACAAGAATCACTTAAGAAAATTAAGCCTATCTTGTTTCTCTTATTTGACCAGATATGCACAGGATTATTTAATGTTTCCCTCATTAGACTGTAGGTTCCATGAGGGCAGGAATCATATCTGGTTTTGCTCACTGTTGTCTGCTCTTAACACAAAATTGGCATGTAGTATATAATCAATAAATAATTCTTTTTTAAAAAATATAGGGTCTCACTAAGTTGCTTAGGGTCTCCCTAAGTTGCTGAGGCTGGCCTCTAACTTATGATCCTCCTACCTCAGCCTCCTGAGCTGTCAGGATTATAGATGTATGTCACTGCACCCAACAATAAATAATTCTTGAGTAAATGTATAAATGAAAACATAACAATTTTATGGAAACAACATAATTTTAGCTCTGTGAGATTCTTTCTAGTCTGTAAGCTCTGTGAAGCCAAAGACAATGTTCATCTTATTTATTCATCACCACATCCATAGTGCTTAGCTCTGTGCGTAGCCCATGTCATCACTCAATAAGTAATTATTAAATAAAAGAATGAGTATATATTGCCTTCTATGAGAACCAACTGTTTTTGCTATTTACTTCCTCTGAAACCTAGACTTTCTACCATCTTTGAAAGACCTCAAAATCAACTGTGTCCACTGTATAACAAGATGTGGAGGTTTCTGGTGCTTAAGGGAAGGTCACAAATGTCTCAAAGTCTTTTATGTTTTACTTATTTTGTGCCATCATTTGCTGGGCTGATTGGTATCAGAAATCTAGGGACAAAATAGCTATGAGCTCACTCTTTCTGAATGAATACTGCATGGTAAATGTCTCTGACCAGACCCTATGGGAGACAGTGTGTCATAATAGAAAAAAAAACTGGCTATTGAACTCAGGAATCTGAGTTCCTGGATCTGGTACCTTCAATACACATGGCATTATTTAAGTTATAATTTTACCTAGACCAGTTGTTCTTATCTGTGCTAATGATATATCTGCCTTAATGGGATTCAAGGAGGATTAATTAATATTAATTATATATATATATATATATATATATATATTATTCATATATATGAATAATCTCACACATAATTCTCATTAAAAGCTATTTTAGAGAATTTTCCTTAAATAATCCTTTATAGATTAGAAGTGATTTTCCTATCATGATAATCATAGAGCCCTGGGTAGTGCAAATGAAGCTATAATTGAGTTCTTAAAAGGCAGTTTTTCTCTTAGACTTATATATACTATGGCATTCATATTTGAATATTTTTGAGCTATCATATGTGAGATATCTACTCTGTCAGTTACTAATCAGGGTGGGAAAACAGAAGAACAAATCAATGTTCCTGCCTTCACAGAGGTTACATTCTAACAAAAGGAGTGTACATGTATGTGAATAAAATGTCAGGGCTAAGTGCTACGAGGAAAATACAGCAGGAAATTGAGAATGACAGAAGCTGCTGTTGTATTTCAGTGATCAGGGAAGGTCTTTCTGAGTAGATGACATTTGAGGTAACCTGAATGAAGTGAGAAATAGGGCCATATAAGTCTGAGAGAAAATGTTCCAGGCAGAGGAAACTGAGCTGGTATGTTCAGAAGCAATACTGGGAAAGGCCTATAACAAAAACAGACCAAGCCATGGGGCGAGTGGAAAAGAGAGGTCAGAGAAGCAGACAGGGACCAGAGCAAGGAGAGCTCCTGGTCACAGCAAGGACTTTGGCATGATTTTGAGCAGTGAAAGTTTGTGCTCTGAGTGATGTTTCCTAAGATCGCTCAGTCTCAACCCCAGGCAGAGCAGGAATGATCACACCTAGATCACAAAGGCTAACAGACCTTGATAATGTCTGGCCTTTGAAGCTTTTGAGGCCACTTCGATTTATGTGCGCAAAGATGACCACAGTGTATTGAAATGCAGGCTCTAGTTCCCATGTATCAAATTGCTGATAAAGACAAGATGGATGCCCCATAAGGTAAGCTATTGATCACTGGGGCTAAATCCATTCAATTAGTTTGTCAGACAAGTATGTTTTTCTTGTGTGTCCCTTCATGACAAAGTGAGAGCTAGAGTGACCAACAGGCATAGAGATGCCCCATGACCCTTCTCTCTCACCATTTCTTGGATATTTCCTAGTAAATTAGCCAAAATGAGTGGAAGGGCATGTGACCTGTCAGGATTCAGATGAATTGCCAGCCTCTGGCTCCCACACAGGCCATTCCAAAGCAGATGTGCCTTAGAAGGAAACCACAGTTTCTCCTTTCTTGGTAGAGGGCCTATCAGGGCAGGGGTGAAGTTCCCTGGGACTGAGGCCTTTTACCTGATGTACATTGACATTGAAATTAAGTGAGGTTCCAAGACAAAGGTGAGAAGAGAGTCGAAACTAAATGCAAAAGACAGAAGCAGATGTCAAAACCTGAAAGACAGTGAGTCAAAAGATTAAAAAAACAAGAAGAGCAAGGATTACAAATGCAAATAAGATCTTGTATAAATATTGTAGAGAGGTTCTGTTGCCCATAGCTGGGTTTAATGTGCTCACTTAGGTAGAATAAGGGTGGGCCAATTTGGTTTAAAGGACCAGGGATGGAGCTGAGGTTCAGGGAACACCATTAGTTTTTTGGTTGGTTGGTTGGTTGGTTGGTTGGTTGGTTGGTTTAGATCCATTAATGCTAAAGCTGAGGCCTCAGAATGCTTCTAGACAATTAATATTCCTAAACTATGAATCTCTAAATTTTTAATATCTGGTGAAAATGGTCAACTACAGGGCATACCCCAATAGGTCAGACTGCCTAGGAACCATCAGGAAAGGGTATTTCAAACGGCACAGAAGCCAGATGCACAAATCTGACTTCTCTTTAGAAGTTTGCTACCTGCCCCCCATGAGCTGAGCTGTCCATGGGGCCTAAGACATCACACACACCCTCACCTCCCCTGCAAACCTGAGTTGGACCCCTGCTGTCCAGTTCCCTGTATCTAGGGAGGCAAGAGGAGTTAGGAAGCAAGTCCAGCTGAGTCTCACTGAACCTGTCACAGCCAGTTTTCTCTTTCCATGGTCAATTAGAAAAGATATTCTCTAGTATATTGATTTTAAAATCAGCATACTAAGTGACACAGCCACATCAATGTTTATGGCAGCTCAACTCATAATAGCCAAGCTATGGAACCAACCTAGATGCCCCTCAACAAATGAATGGATTTAAAAAAAAAAAAATGTGGTGTATATACACAATGGAATATTACTCAGCCTTAAAGAAGAATGAAATTATGGCATTTGCCCGTAAATGGATGGAACTGGAGAACATTTTGTTAAGTGAAATAAGCCAAACTCAGAAAGTCAAAGGCCATATATTCTCTCACATGTGGAAGCTAGAGAGGAAAAATGCAAAAGGATGTTCATCTATAAAAGTCAAATATATGGAAATGACTTTAGCATAGAAGGAGAAAGAAAAGGTCAAATTATAGTACATTCAGAGTTTGGAATATCATGTAGAATTAAATGCCGTATTACCAAAGTCTGGTACAAAATTGAATAGATAAGGGTATACTATATAAATAGTAAATATGTAGAAGGTAATTCACTGGACAATGCCAGTGGTTATCTCTGTAGGATTTTTCCTCCTCTTTATTCATTTCTCTCTTTTCCACCTTTCCTACTATGAGTTCAGCATTTCCTTTAGAAGCCAGGGACCTGTGTTTGATTCAGGCTCCAGCAGTTTTGTGCCTAGGAAAGCACTTGTCTATTGAGCACTGTCATTTTAATCTTTAGACAGTTTATAAATTAGGCCCTACATGGATGTGATACGACAGGGGAACAAAGTGTCAAAAAGTTAATCTCTGGTTTTGGTTTTTCTCAAAGAACTCTTTTTTTTTTTTTCTTTCTGGGGTTGGGAATCAAACCCAGACCCTGGTACATGCTAAGTAAATACTCTACTGCCAAACTACATCTCAGCTCCAAGCATATTTCGACTAAAAAGCTTAGGGGGAAAGATTCAGTAATTAATCGATTGCTGAACCAACAAGTTTTTGAAAGAGTTTTCACTTAATTATCATTTCTTAAACTCAGCCTGTGACATGGGAGAAGAGTCAGTGCACATGCTTTTGAATGGCTTTAGATTCTGAATTTTCTTTTTCTCCTTCATAGAACCCAGGACATGAAGGTTTCTGGGGACTTATTTCAAGGCCACACACTGAGGGCTTTGTTTGCTTTCTCCACTGGGCTGCAGGACCAGGTGACTTAGGACAAAAGGGTATGACTCAGCTGTTTGGGGGCTGGGGAAGCTGATTCATGCGAATTTGCTCCATGCTGAAACTGGCTGTTTCAGTCTATTAAAACATTCATGAGGGTATGCATTGCCAGAGCTCAAAGCATTTAGGAGTGCAGATCCAGCCCCATCTCTTCCCCACCCCCATTCTAAGTAGTTAAGCACTTCATGCACCACCAGGAACCCCATTCCTAGGCTCTACCCAGGACTGGTTTCACTTGGCCTTTGAGCTGTGACCTTCTTTGGGTCCTTGCTGGCCCAA